TCACCAGCAGCAGCAGTTTGACGACATTGAGAGTGTGAGTCATCGTCATCGTACTGCTGCTCACGAAAATATGGGACCATAATATTCCCACTTTACTTTGCGATTAAAAGTCCATTACACAAATAATAATTTAGGATCCAAGTTGGTTGGTTGAGCAGGCATGACAATGTCATCATAATGTAATATTCAGGAGATAAAGACCTTCCCTTAAATATCCGTTCCAGATTATTACTTTTCTTGGGTAATTTGGAACAGAGTTTCAGTTTTATGTTGTTGGCCTACTATTTACAACAGCTTCAACATCCTTCATTTCATTTCCGTCTGCCTTTCTCTTGGGAAAGCCAGCATTCAAAAATTTCTAAATGACGAGTTGGGGCGTCACATCGTTCATTTTGGGGAGAGAGGAAATTTTAGAGGTCTTCTGACTAGCATGGTAATAATAATGCGTGTGCAGCACTCACTGGTCTACAACTCTGGTGATGGTTTATATGCACAAATAGGACGTTTGAACGTTATAGTCAGGAAGAGTTTTAATTACGAGATTATAACGTTAATTTGAAGAGGGAGTAGCAATGAAATTTTCAGAACAATGATTAATTGATGGTCTACGTTCTTTTGATTAACGGAAAAAGCTGGAAGAGTTTTCACCACTCATTTATTTTGTCCGTGTAGCAGTGTGGATTTAACTTGCGACTGTTTCCATATTCTTGGCTGACATGAGAACTGAATCAACTATAAATAATTTTCATGGATCACGTGCAGATAATTTTTGATGGAATTCTATTTCTATTAAAGCAAACAAACGTTTAAAGATTTGTGACTTAAGATGGTAGAATATGGGCACGTGGGAAATAAATAACGGGTAAATAAATGGATCACGGTTGGAGCAATGAATGAGTTCATTTACTGCCATTCGACCATTTTGCTAAAATCAAATGCTGGAACAATGATGTGGCACAAGTAATATTATATTGGGATATAATGACATTGGTTTCCCATTCCCATCATCGTCGACATCATGAAAAAACTCTGTAGTAACTAGAAACTGTAGCGGTGGCACTTTGCTTGTTCGTAAAATTTCGGTGATGAGAATTGCCTTTTGCCTTCATTTTCCCATATGGAACCCCTGCGAACCCATCCAATCCGGTCCGTTCTCTTGCTTCCGTTTTCATCATTAGGCAGCACGTGGCCAAAATCTCAAGTAGGCGCAGGGAATGAACTCATGCCCGTGGAAAAGGTAGCTTGAAGTAAGCTACACTTACCACCCGTTTTTTATAGCAGCTACACACTCACCAACTCGTTCACCATTTTCTAAGAGACTTCTGATCTGAACCGAATAATGCAGCAACATTCAATTGGGCAAAAGGGTTGCAGTCGTCTTCATCAAAATTTTTATAAGAATCAACCCCTGTCATCCACTACCAGAGCCCCTCATCTCTGCCCAAAAAGAAACTTCACAGGATTCCACGAGAGAAGTCTGACATCACATCCTTGAATTGGCAAGCTTCTAAAGCCATCAGGATATTTGGATTGAGGAATTAGCAAAAGTATAAATGCACTTCTGCATCACTGACGCCCCATTATTCCGATGCCTTCTTTTTCTTTGTGCCTCCCGTACTTTCTTATTCACCAAGATCATGAGGATTCAGAGGAGGATTACGGAGTGGGAGAAACTCGGCGGAAAATGAAACTTTAGGAATTTTTAATGACTAAATTATTGTAATCGACATCGACTATGGCGGAATACTTATGCCGACCCTTCCTCCCACCCAGCCGGAGTGAGTGCCAACTAAGGATGTATATATACGACAGGAGCAAACGAAGAAATTACAAAGAGAGGATTTGAATGTCTAAATGAAATGAAACCACGAAGGAATTTATTTAATGCACTGGGATGAGCAGTCCTAGTGGGGCATCATCGACTGAATTGAAATTAAATTCAAGGAATTCTTGCTCAATTCAAATTTCGCCTAGTCAGCAGTTCACCAGGAAGCATCTTATGCCTTCCTGAAGTGTGATAAGCTTGAGCATAAGTAGGAAAATTCCCACCAACTTTGCAAGTATAGTGGAACCAAGAAAAAGAGAGAAGGCGACATGCACGAAGCTTTAGTATGCAAAACTTTGTTCTCGTGGGCTTGAAGGCGAAGCTGGCAGAGTTTAAATAATTTTGAATGGAAAAGCAAAGAATTTTGGATTTAATGATTGTGCAATAGTCGTTTATTGGTATTTTTCTTCGAAGCATTTGGTCTTATGTAAGATGGGGAAAGGTGAGGTGCGATTGGTGCGGGTGTCAACAATAAAGGAGACGGATGGGTGTTGGACCTTAGTTAATTTTTTATAAGCCTATTTCCAACTAGAATGAGACAATTGCTTTGTTTTCTGGATCGTAAAATGCAGTGAGGTGACGGCAGCTCACGTGCAAGTAGTTTTTCTAATGACATGCGACGGTGTGAAGAATATTGTATGCCAACACTTAATGGTACAGACACCATAATGGTGGGGTCAAGTCAGGTCATGGTTATTTATTGCGTAGCACATGCATTATATTTAACAATTGGGGCCAACAATTCTTACATCTTTTTGCAAATTATTTATTTCCTCAAAATTTTCGTACTTTTCATTCTTGACACATTATATCCTTCGTTGTTTAAAAACATCATCTTGGCTGAAATAAATAGAGCCATTTTTAGTTTGCAAGTTCACTCGTAAACTGTCGTTCTCCTTTCGAAAGTACCGTGTTTTATACATGTACCCTATCAATGCATGTTGCGTAAGTTTGGTTCGTTGTGGTGTGGTTACGTGGTGGAAGGTTTGGCTGTGCCCAAGAAACAACCCATAAAAAATTTGTAAGGAGATAGTTTGTGAAGAGAGGGACGAAGAAAAACAGTAAATGTGGCCATTTAGGAAGGCCACAATTTATAATCAATGCCTTGGACACTTCCTCTCCCTCCTCCGTCTTCCCTACCTACACACAAACGAACAAGTGCAAACAAACTGTGGAGAAAGTCTTTCTTCCTCTATTATTAGTGCGGTGGTGGTGGTCGTCGACGACTCCAATGTGTGGAAGCACAGCCACCGCAAACGGAACTAGAGTTTTCCTATTGACCATATCTAATCGAGATAACATGTCTTATGGAGCTGCACAAGAAGAGAAACTAATGTTGTATTTTGTCTTTGCCAACAAATTAAACAGACTCGTGTTGGAGGAGCTCAGAGAAAAAGTTTTTGGTACAGCAAAGGTTTTTACCTGTTGTCGCGTCCTTGTTAATTAAGTCGGTAATAATTAATTTGTAGAACTCCATTCTATTTTAATAGTTCTTTCCATGTTATGGTTGTTGGTAAATATGTGTAAATAGTTGCTCATTTGAAATGAGTCATTTCTTCCTTTTGTTTCACATTGAGCTTTCACTTTGTGTGTGATGTAAACCCCATATTACGAGATTGCAAAGTAAAATGGGTGCCTGGATAATTAAAGCTGTAAACCTCGAAATTTATCTAGCAGGGAAATGTCCTTTGGTGAGAACGCTGAGCAGAGAAAGAACCGACTTGTGCAACCAAGCTGAATAAACGATGGATACGGTTTTGGGTTTCGTTGTATGTCTTAATTGTCTGCAGATTCGTTGGTCTGCTGCCCATCTTCAGCTAGGTATGCATTAGGAGGAAAGGGCGAAGGAAAGCAGATAGATAATATTTCACAAATTGCAAGTTAATGTGTTGCCCAAACGTGACTACCATCCCACCTTAGGTTCTGAAGTCAGAGGGCATTGATGTAGGTAATAAGAATGGTTTCCCATATAATTATTTTTACAGCTTAAAAACTAATGGAAATTTATAAGAGAACGCTTTTCTGGTTTCCTGCAGTACATGTAGTACGTTATTATCTTTGTGGTTGGTTTCCTCAACCGGAAGTTTGCACCTACTTTGAGTATCTTACGTTCCGGTACCCGGTGACTGGTTTCACGGTATATATTAATTTCACTTCTACACCTCGTTCGTCCTAAATACGTGCTCAATGTATACAATACGTCTCTTGTAAATGGTTTATCTCTTCGGCTGCTGGTGAAAGCCGTCACATTTCCAATGTTTATTCCGTTATTATGAATAAATAATTACTTACTTGTAGACCGATTTTCTATATGGTGCACGTAATTATCACCGGGTAGAAAAACGTGCGGCTATAGATTCTTCGCCGGGTGTGTTGCATTTTTAGATATTTGATTCTAGTAGAGGAATACGTGTTGAAATTGAATAACTCTCATTAGTCAAATTACACCAGCAGGGTTATAAACGATATGTTGCATATCTAGTTGGCTAAGGGCAATAAAATAAAATTGGGTTAGCATGAGATGGGCTATTCACAGCACAATGTTAAGTTGGGATGACTTTGTGCTATTTGTGCACAGTCATTCAACAACTTTTACGACCTTAGCATTGGAAAACCCATCTGATAAGTGGGCCAAGTTAAGGTGGAAATTGAATCCGTGAACCATTAGTATTACCACGTATTTTATGGCTTTTTGCTTTCTCCGAAATGGCGAGAATATATTGAATCTAAAGGGAATCAAATGCCATGTATACGACTACTGGGTGCCTATGATTTCATTATATTTTGCATAATTCTCACTTTAAAAAAAGTTTAGCTGAAGTGTTTTCGAAACTTGTGTACTTTATGCATATATCCATTTAGAGTATTTAGTAGGTACACATGTCTATGTGTAGGTGAAAGCTACGATAATTGAAAAGGAAAGAGTTGCTGTCTAGATATAAGTACTTAATAAAAAATCACCACATTCGCCTATTTGTAATTTGTTGGGTTATGTACATACGTATAAATATAGGCCAAAGGATATTGAAAGATGAGCAGGTCGGTCGGTGACATATGTATGTAGCTGTGTATGAGGGCAACAAGGCAGCCAACAGACAATACAATACCTAAAATAATGTTGTTTTGTTATTCTAAAAGTCAATTAGCTAAATAATGTTTATTTTAATTTGTGCAGAACCAGACGACACGATAACTTTCTCCGGAAATGGATCATTTACTGACTTCTTCAAGATTGTCGTTCAGGACGGCAAAAACATTTTGGTTGGAGCAAGGTAAGTTTGACGAGTTTTTCTTGATATTTTGTGCTTAATTCTTATGAAATTTTATTAGAAAATTTTATTACCAAATCACGCCTTAACAAAAAATTATTCTGTGTTCAAATAATTATTGGCGTGTGGACCAGACATATGTATGCTTCACACATGTACAGGATACACGGGTTTTCGCGTGTAGTAAGATTGGTGTGGATTCTAATTTCCTCGTCCAACGGAGTTTTATTTGATTTGCAAAGTATTGACTTGCTCTGCCTTATTGTGTCTGATTTGCTTTGGTTCCGATCTTTGTCGATGTCTATCAGCAAATTGGACCCTGAGCAGATCAGAGTCCAATTCGAACCTGGAGCGAAGGAAAGCTTTATTTAAGCCCTGTGTTGATTTTGTATTGAATTGCTGGTTTTGGTTGCCCGACTTTCATTCATTCCATTAGTCTTTGTTGGTGATGGTACTCTTGGTTAATAGCTTTGGTTGATGTGATATTGGATGTATGTGCTTTGTTGGTTTGGCAGTGGCAAATAAATCGAGGTAATCCATTATGTCTTTTCTTTCAGGAACGCTGTCTACAACTTGACTCAGGCCGGCCTTAAACTCAACCATGTAAGTATCCGCAGCAATTTCATTCTGGTGCTGAACAGTACTATTTATTACCATATGCATCACCTTTCTCTGGAACTTTTGAAAAAACTAGTCTGGTTACATGCATGTGTAATATCCTCTCTGCTAATCCTAAGTATGATGAAAATGCAAATGTTTTGCACAATAATATGTACATATGGCAAATTGAGGTACAATTGCAAATGTTAAAATATGTATTTAGGGATGAGATTAACAATGAGCTAAAATCACGATAAAATGCTCATTTTGGATTAGTGTAGGATATTCCTGATAGTCCAAGAAGTTTTTAAAAGACAATGGAAATAATTAATTCTAGATGTACATACTTTGGCTGTTCTTGATGGCATAGTGGTCAATTGGTGCTGAGGAGTTTTGGTCGTTCGTCTTCCTAATGAAAAAACTAACTTTATCGGTTCTTCATTTTGTTATTTCGATCACGACTCGATCCTCAACAGTGTAGTGGTTCGTTTCAGTGCAAGAAGGATACGAAGGCAAGAGAGTGACTTTCTCTCCACACCAAACACATCTCAACTAGGCAGCTATCCAGTCAGAACCTATTCCTTGTGAAGTATGAGGAGTTTGCTAAATGTTGAATTGTAGTCGGGCTCTAGATTTTTTATTTCGTTAGTTCAACCCACGAAAGTCTAGATTTCCTCTCGAATCGAATTCAAGTGGGACAGCATGAGGAAATTGGAGCTTGGTTGTGCGTCACTGCTCATTGTCATCTATTCTACGCCTAATGCGTTAGTAGAAAAAAATATATCTCAAATTTTACACGACTTTATATTTTATGAATATATGGGTTGTATTTACATATGGATTGTAATGTAACATTTCTTCTTGTGTGAGCTACACATATTATTTGAGGTACTATAGAATCATACACATAAGATAGGAATACTTATTGGAACTCGTGTATGTACATGTAACTAAAAATACGTAAACGGTAAATATTAATATCTTGATGTTTGCCAAAATTAGTTTGCCCAACTAGCATCCCAATATACCAAGCAGTATTTCCTCAATCCCCATGCTGTTGCCCTCAACGGTCTTTGTCTTGGTTTGATTTGTCCTTCTCTGTGGTTGAGACGTTTTTTTCTCAGACGAGGGATGAAAAGTTAGGTTTTCTACGAGTTAGGCTACTACAGCTACGTGAGCTTACTCGAGGAAAGTAGAAGGCTTGTCATCTCATCGAGGACATCGCACGAAGAGATGGGAGACTGAAACCGCAATGGAAGTCCTGTCCAGCCAGCCCTGGATTGACCAGCAGGGGAAATGCAATTTGTCAAGTGGACGCACAAGGAAATGTGAAAGACGAATGGTCACGGGCAGCTCTTTCCCCATTCGTGTTAACATCAGAATCAAATTCTACTTTATATGTCCATCCACCTGCCTAGCTAACTGGGGCCGAAGGGTAAATCGTACTTTCGCTCATGTGTCTGGGCGAATGCTCCAGTTTCTGGTTCCGTTCTCTGACGTAATCTGAATCTTTCGAGCGATTTAGGAGGAGAAAGTGAAATTTGAGAAGGCCTACGAAACTGTGGTTTCTGAAGTTTGTTCATATTTATTTGTTCCATCAGATAAGCTTGACTCTAAACGACCAAAGTCTTCCTTAGTTTTGTGGAAAAAAATTTATTATTCAAATCACACGGTTACGGTTGAAGTTTGATTGACGATGCAATTCCTCTTTGAGAATTTTAAACTATTTCAGCACTTGCTGCTACTTGGAGTAGATTCTCAAGGGAAATGAAGCCACGCTTATCACATATCAAATATGTGATAAGCATGGTTTAAACCAAGTTCCATTCAACATTTATTTCTACAAAGTTAGTATGAGTCACAGACTATGACTGAGGCAAGACAAACTAATCTGTAAAATAGCGATGTTGATGGAAATGCGAATAAGTAAGAACTGATTCGCCTAATTAGTAATTACAGACCATGTCGATTATTATCAAGTTGCACATGAAGTCTGTTGGGAAACATATAGAGCTAAATGTTCAATAATTTTACTTATTAGTAATGCACGTGAACTTCTGTATAATATGTTATTGAGGATATTTTCCAAAATTGATATCATTGATTCCTATATAGTAATAGTAATTTCCTAATTTCAGAAACTGGAGTGGTATTCTGAAGAAGACGACATTCAAATGTGCTTAACCAAAGGAAAAGAGCCTGTAAGAATGAATTTCTTGGATTATTAATTAGTAGTAGTAGTGATTAAAAATTAAAAATTTAATGATTTGAATTATTGAACTATTTTAATGATTTGAATCCTGATTATTAAGATTGAAATTCTCAGCCACCTTGGATGGACTCTAATAATTAACTGTGAAATTTGCAGGAAAATTGTCAAAATTACATCAGAGTATTGAGCGTGACAGGGCCTGGAAAAATTTTGGTTTGTGGGACTAATGCCTATAAACCTAGATGCCGTTATTATCATCTAAGTGCCAATGGCCATTACACCCAACTTGGAGCGGAGAAGACTGGTCAAGGGATTTGTCCTTACGATCCCAGACACAACAGCACCTCTGCCTATGTTGGTAAGTATTCAGCAGTAGAAGTAGTGGAACATAATATAAACGAAGTTGTAGTCGTTCCTCGGGAGGTAGGGAAATATCATGAATGGTGTACAATTACAATAATACCTTTGGCCTTTCACTTGTCTCTGCATTGTGTAATGCAGTAGATCAAAGTGAGAGGGTGGACGACTTAAGTGATCATTATATCTAACCCAGACTTTCCTTTTCATGTCAGAAGACTCACAAAATAGAAAGATTAAGTCATCTCATTTGATTCATCCCTCTCCTGAATTAAGTTTCAGTTTAATTTGATGTCTAATAGTCTTCTCGACTTTGGAATTTTCTTCAGCTTATCCTTAAACCAGAGACAAACCGAGTCAAGGGAGAAACCCTTTTGAAACGAGAGACAAAAAGAGAGAAAGTGATGAGTTTATACCGTAAGATCTAGAAATAACTTTCCAACCGCCTTTTAAATCGTCAAAATTGATGTGAGCGAGGAATATCATTTAGTTTTGCGGTTGATGTTGTCCTACATACATTAAAGTTTCTGGTTGCGGGGCGACATTCAGAGTTGAAATTTGATGAGCGGTGTCCTGTGGTCCCCTTATACGCACAAAGTGCAGTAATAAATGATTATGTTGATATCCCACCACCCAGGGTGTCCTTCTACAGTACCGACCGACCATCAACTAGTAGATACGCATTGTGTTATGGTAGCCGAGACGACGCGACTTTACTTCCCCCCTTCTTTTGGGATGATTATGGTGATGATTTCATTCACATTTCAAATGTTTAGATGGCGAAGTGTATGCTGGAACGGTTGCAGATTTTACAGAGGTTGATCCCTTAATTCATCGCTGGGATTCTCTACGGACGACGCAGTACGACCTCAAATATCTCAATTGTGAGTACAAAACTACTTGCTTTTATTATATTTAAATCTACGGGTTTGAAAAAGAGCTCGAGACATGACAAAAAATGCAGTCAACCAAGTGGTATATAAAAGTTTTCTTTGCTTTGATTATTCTCTGGAGGAAAATTTCATGATAACTGAACACGTAGTATTGTGGATGAGAAGAATGGCGATGGCAAGGATAGCGAAGGATTATTTTACCGTAAATGAGGCTTGTTGTGATTGCTTCACAAAAGAAAATGGCTAAAATTTGAGCACAATTTCACTTGTGATGGTGTACCAGTTACATATTAGATAATAGTTTAATCTCTTGAAAGTATTTGAAAACATGTCTGGCACACATATTTTGCATTGGTATCAAAATTGCGAGATAAACGTCATGTTCTGAATGGGATTTGGTTACCTATTATACTAAGCAAACATTTCCTTCTTTGCCAAGGAAAGATCTACTGCCATTCGTTCCCATAATGAATTATTGTTGCTGTTTGCTCCATTTCTTGCCTTCCTTAGATACACACTGCTTTTGAAAGAAAGTACACTCTTAGAACCTCTGTAGCTCATAAGTATTAGCCACAAAAAAAGAGTTCATTCGAGGTGAAAGACAATGACTAAACCCATCAGCGCCCCAGCAAACTTTCTCTCATTTACGAAATGATGCTGATAGGTTGACTTTTCTTGAGCCCAGAAGGAAACTGTTGATTGCTGAATTGATGGCAAGCGATCAACTCAGCCTCAAACTGGCTTGATGATGATATGAGATCTCATTTCATTTTGTCTCTTCTAGCTCCCAATTTCGTCGGCTCTATGCAATACGAGGACTTTGTCTTCTTCTATTTTCGAGAAACGAGTCAAGAGTCTACCAATTGTGGCAAGGTAAGTTTACTCGTTGCTTGCAAACAATAAAGCTCTGCTGATGCTGTCATATCTTTTGATTTGACTCTCATGCTGTCTGTGTATTAAGGCCCTTTCATTCATTATGCCCAAAGTTGTAAAGAATAAAGACGGAGCTTTTCCTGTCAATTACAATGTGCTTAAAATAGAAAGACAAATCGGAAGGAATCAAAATATCAGTATATTTTGTTGAACATGTTGGCACAATATATTGTTTTTTTAATAAGCACGGTTCAATACATTCAATTAAAGGTTGATTGAAAAATAAAATGAGGAACTGTGGATAATTAATCGATAATCTCAAATTTCTGCCATAGTCTATCTGTACGTGGTTGTTCTTTCTCCTGACCCGAGGTGCATGTGCATTTGCTACTAAATTTTAAGGTTTAATGAGTATCAGGATTTCGAATGAAGGTACATATGTCTACTCTTGAAATGCACAAACTCGAATGATGAAAGGCCTGAATGAAACGGTTGGCGATAGTATACTTTTATGTCATCATGATGGTTTGAAAACATTTTTGGGTACATTTTTAATAATTTTGCCTTATGTTCATTCACAGGCTGTATTTTCTCGGGTCGGACGTGTTTGTAAAGGGGATAGAGGGTTTCCACGTAAGTAGAAAATGTTGCATCTTTGTAATCAGACCCTATTCGAGCATTTTCCTCGGAAATCATAATTCATAAGTTACTGACGAGCGACTGTTTCTTTTATTTTTTAGGTGCCCGTGGGAGTGCGAAGAACCGGTGGACCACATTTTTCAAAGCGAGACTCAATTGTTCCGTAAAAATAAAATAAAAATATAATACAAGGTTAATGGATGGCGGTGGTTGAATGATATCTAATTAATGATGGCATTCCTCTTGTTTAGATCCCTGGGGAATTTCCTTTCTACTTTGATGAAATACGTATGTGGCTGTTTGCAACTAAAGATCTACTATAAAAGTTCCCTCCTATTTTGCTTGTCCAAACATCAAAAAGTTGTCCATTAATGAATGAAACACCAAACAAGAAAATGGCATAATGACTAACTTTACTTTCTCAAAAAGTAAAAGTAGCCACTTTTACTTTTTTGTTGCAAGAGCAACCTTTCAAATTCCCAATGTCGGCTTGTTCCTCTTTTTCGTATCCCACATGTCAACTTACTGAATTTACTTCCCCTCGGTGTTACTCATTCATTGTAAAATTTGCATACCTTTAATTATTTTTTTTCAGCGTAATATATAAGTTTTTGTTTATAAGCATTGGGAAATTTTTTAACCGATTTTTGAACTTGTTTGTTACCCAGAATCGACATCATCCTTGCTGCCCTCTTCACAGCTAGGGAATGAAGTGGTCTATGCAGTTTTTACGACGGGTGTGAACAGCATCACGGGTAAGTGAAACTATTTTCTGGTCATTCAGAAAATAGTTAATGTAGATGAAATAATTTTTTGCGCATATCTATTCAAATGATGTAATAGACTTCAAATAAGTAAGTATGCAATTTTTGACTCGGTGGCTACGATTATCTAGGTTCAGCAGTATGCGCGTTCAAGATGAGGGATCTCCTGGACGTTTTCGATGGACGAGTAAGCTATTTATTTCATTATTGGATGCGTACAAGTAAACTAAATGAAAACTACTTTCTTTCGTTTACCAATAGTTTAAAGCCCAAGAAAAACCAAACATGCACTGGCTTCCTGTAGAACAAGAGAAGGTTAGTCCGCCATTGTTTTTGTCGCCCATTTCTTTTTTATAACATAATCCACATGTGCAAGATAAGAAAATTACATCAAATTCTTGGAATTCCTACCAGAATGAAATGTTGATTGATGGTGCAATCGATTTAAGTGAATTCTTGATGTGAAATGGTCACTTTTGATAGATATTTTGTGCCTCGCTTTAATCTTTAATGTCGGCAGTACAGCACATTAATGTTGTATGCTATATGACGTATATAAGCCTTATACGTACTATAAGGGTAGTTGATGTTACTCTCGATCCGACGAATGAAACAAGTGATGAGTGATGGATCCCTTTTCGGCTCAAACATCCATCGCACATAGTGACCATTCTCCCTTATATTTAAAGGTACCGGAGCCACGGCCAGGCCTCTGTGTTAATGATTCTACGACACTTCCTGACCAATATTACCTCTTCGTCTCTGCCCACACGTTGATGGATGAGGTTAGTATGCTTTGTTTTTGTCGTCCATTTCTTTGTTATACACTGGAGAGCAAATGTGAACGCCCAAAACCACAAGCACAATTTAAATCATAGTTTCTCAGTAAGTACGGGGAATTTTTGAAAGGTCGTTATCTCATTTTGAAGACAAATTAGTACACAAACATTCACCAAAGAAAATTTGTTGTAAGATTTTTTTTCACTCCGTACGGACCCATAGCGTGAAGTTAAGAAATGAGCACCGGTGCAAAAGTCATCGCCACAAACAATTAAAATGATAGCACTTTTAAAATTACTAAAGTAGGATAACAACTTTTTTAATTTTTAAGTACACCTACTATTGATGTATATATAAAATAATTCCACTTCAATTAAAAAAATATATCCCAGAAGAAAATGCCCAATAATGAAACAACAGTCGCTATTCAAGATTTGGTCATTCATCACTACGAAAATGGGGGGAAGACGCAACAAGAAATTGCTGAGTTGGTCAAAAAATCTCGTCAACTGTCCGTGACATGATTTCACGTTACAAATTAACGGGATCAATTGAAAATAGGCGACGAGCAGGACGTCCACCAAGTTTCATCACAGGCGAGTAGAAAATATTTGCTCGAAAAGTGACCAATAATCCAAAACTTTCGTCTCCCAAAATTTCTGGTGAAGTAGAAAATGATGTTAGGAAAGTATCAAGTGGTTGGGCAAGCTGGGGAATATCGAAACTCAGTGCTCAAAAAAATTATAGAGCCAGGAGGAAGCCTACATATCAAAAACGCACCAATAGAAAATATTAAAATTTGCAAGGCAACACACAAATAAAGATTAAAATTTTTGCGAATCACTCTCCTGTGTGTTTAGAGTAAATTTAGTGTTTTATGGTCGGATGGAAGGGTTTGAGTATGGAGAGAAGTCGGAGAATCTGTCAAACTAAAAAATCTCAACACCATCTTAAATTATGGCGGAGGACGCGTCATGATATCTGAGTGTTCAGATTCGCGGGGGCTGGTACGCACGAATTCATCAATTCTACCAAGCACCAAATTTTGTACCAGAATCTACTAAAGAGAAATGTTTAACAATCAGCAGCAAAACTTCCCTTTGCAGGGTGCTACACCTTTCAGCAGGAGCGCGAACATAAACGGACGGCCAAGTCCACCTGTGAATTCTTGTGACCAACAAGATTAATGTTCTCGAATCGCATCAGGAAAGACTGAATCTCAATCCTACTGAGCAGAGGTGGGGAGCACATATATTTAGACATCCGAAAACGCTCAATTTCGAGCATAGCTGACGTGAAAGCAGAAATCTAAGCCCCCTTGAGTGACGTCGACCCTGATATCCCTCAGACATTGGTTGCGTCCATGTAACGTCGCTGATAGGCTGTCATATTTTCAAATAGAGGTCCAACAACGTACTAAGTGTTAATGCTTTCATTTAAAACTTAAAATTGTAGAAATATTAAATGTTTTATTCGTTTTGGCGATCACTTTTGCACCTGCCGTTTTTACTTTTTATCTAATCTACTCACGTGTGATGAAAACTATAAACTTTTAAGAAGACTCTTTGATACTTAGTTATTGGATATTAAATTGTCTACAAAACGCAGAAAAAAATTCTGGAAAATCTGTTATTTTCAAAAAGTTATGAGAAATCAAACGGCAAACTTTCTCTTGGGCGATGACATCTGCTCTCCAATGTAGGTATGTTATATGTTATACGTTTGTTATAGCCTGTTCAGCCTCTGCTCGGGAGACCAGTGTTGACTCGAGCGTTTGAACCAAGTCGATTGACTACCATCGCAGGTAAAATCAATCTCGTGCTTTTATAAGAATAAATACGTAAATAATGTTATTTGTGCATAACATGTCATTTTAATAGATATTTAATAAATATTTATTTTTTTATGTACCATCGCAGTTCATACGAACGCCACGACTCCCGATGGACAGGCTTATGATGTCCTTTTTATTGGAACTGGTGGGTTAATTATATGTCATCTTCGCTTTCCCTGATAAGTGGTATCCAGTCGATAAGTTTGCGGATCTTATAGCGAGAGAAATTATGTCCTTTCATATTACATATATTATTAGATTTCCTACATATATTTGATAGTGAGAAATATATCCTATATTTACTGATAGGATATATTTCATAGGTTAGATTAGAAATTTGCAGCGACTTTACTTTGCTTTAACCCTTTAGCACTACAGAGAGGAACCTAATGCACATAATGCAAAAGGGAATGAAAGTAACTTTGCTAACCAAATGTATGGCTTGTGGTTGACTCCTAGATGATGGAAAGATCCTGACCGTGATAAATGTGGGCCGAGGAGAGGGACAGGAACCCGTCCGGACGGTCATGATTCAAGAAATGCAGGTATGTATTTCATTTAGATTACAAATCAATAATATGTAGCTCAAATACTTGATTACAAGTATAACAAGTACATGTTTACATATTATGCATTAGTTATGATAACCCATGTAATGGATTCACCCGTGTCTATAATTCCAGATATTTAAGACACCCGTGAGGGAAATGTTGTTTCTTGGAGGTAGCCCCCCGAAACTTTTGGTACGTTTCTCAATCTATATTTTGTCAGCTCGTTCTCGTACTTTACTGACATAATATACTTCAAAACTTTCACCATATTACTAGTGAAGTTATTCACTTGTACAAATGACTTCTGAATGAATGACCCAATATACTTGTTTTTAGGCATCTTCGGATCATAACCTGAAACTTATCAACGTGCGTCAGTGTTTCACTTCCAAAATCAAGTCTTGCAGGTAAATGAAAGAGTCGTAGAGACAACCCAATCTCTGCGGATTCAATGAAGAAGTTCCATGCCACCCTATAAGTCCTTTTCATTAGTTTAATGGGCATGACCTATAACTCACAAGCCTCACTTTGCCATGCGGTTTGGTTTGTCAAAATGTTTGGTTTCGATCGATCCTGCCTCCCACCAAGACGAGTATTTATATACAAACCAGATTTGTCCTCGTTGCATACTGTTGATAAACATTCTCAGTTTGAGCCCTTGGCCCAATTTATGTAGCCCAACAATATTTATTTTACTCCATTTCTGTAAACTCTGCACGAATGAACTACATAAGATGCAAATGATGAAAATAAATTTGATGCAGAGCATTTTATTTTTGTCGTCGTAAATATTTAATTTTTAAAATGGTACGAGTTGTTTAGTTTTTAGGTAATAATCATTAAAATCATTATTTATTCTAGCGACTGTGTTTCTCTGCAAAGTCCGTATTGTGCCTGGGTAAGTGGAACTCTTGTTATATATTAAGCTCGCCTTAATTCATAACAATTTTATTACCGTGTCTAGCACAAGAGGGAATCCAAATGTGTAACGATCCCTCTGGATCGACCCATTTCAAGAAGAGATTACATTCAAAACGTGTTGTCCACTGGAAATCATTCTGATTGTCCAAAGTTTAGCAGCATGAGCAGCAACGCAATTCCATCAGAGCAGCTCCACAAAAGCACTTCTAAATCCCTGGACTCATCCGGTAGTCAAACTATCACTATTCTGTCAGACGACGGACAGCAAACTAAGGAGGTGATTCATCTTATTGCTCACCGTTATCATTCAGTTGTGTCACATCACCAGGAGGAGTCTCATGCATATCTTATAACCAATGTGGAACAAAGTGTTTCAAGCCATAAACGTTAACATTCTGCAACTGTTTAATCATTCTTATAATTACATAGATATTCTATGTTTGCATGTAGAATTACGATGTAAAAATTCGGCCAGTCATAACAAATGGAGACATTTTCTTTGCTCAGGACCAGGACACGCGGTGCACAATGTACCTCGTGTCCTGTTGCTGTTCAGTTTGTTCAAAGCAACACAAGAAAATGACTGCAGACGTCAATATGATGTTTAATGCATGAACGTCTAATTCGTTTTCCAGGTTGTCAATGAAGGGCCCGTCGTTATCGGTCCAAGAAGAGAATCCTACACTGCAGAGACGTTATCCATCGCGGTCGGAGTTGGCTGCATTGTAGCAATCTTGCTCGGTTTCTTGGCCGGATGGGGTGAGTTAGAATAGCCAAATTACTTATAATTAGCTGACCATTTATGTATGCCCACTCCCTACACTATCGGGTTTTTGGGTTCTATCCAGGGTAATATTCAGAATGGGTGTTAAGCAATGATCAGAAAAACTTGGAATCAAATCTCGAAAACATTTTATCATATCATAATTGACTTGTGTGCATCTTACCCCTAATTAATCAATTAATCTATATCCTATTATTATACCGTGCATAATAATCCACAGGTTGTGCAAAACGTTGCCGCAAAGAAGACAACATACCTTATCCAGACACGGATTATGAGTACTTTGAACAACGGCATAATCTGAATATCAACACGTAAGTTTTTAATTTCCTGAATATGTGGGTATCTATTTATGCCGATCAGTAACCAAAATACCATCCACCAAAATATACTCCGTCTAAGAGGATGTAAGTACAATATCATGGAATTGGATTGATGGTTGTTGGTGTACTGATGTTTGTGCTGGACTGTTGGTTGTTGATGCTAATGTTACTCTTTTAAATGTTTCAACGACAGGAGATTAGTAGGGGAGGGGAAGGAAGAAGCAACGTATGCAGAACCTGTCCTGGATGGTAAAAACAATTCGAACTTAAACAACATGATGCCCCAGGTCAATCACCATCAACCAGATCACCAAGAGACAACCACCATGTTTCATTTTGCGCAACCATACGCCAGGGATTTGTACAGGTACGGAAAGTAGTAGAGAGTTGCTTTAGGGATTTCCAGTTTCTCACAAGATTATGGAAATGTCGACAACAACTTATTCCTTCTAAATAATTTTGTCAGGTTCGAAGGCGATTTGAATTCTAGAGGAAGACCGGACCCGTTCGGCAGCCTAAGACCAGGGGGAATGCATTTGGATGGGGGATATGGCACACATCGACAACCAAATAACTTAGGCCCGAAACCCAACATCCCTGACGGATACGGTACTGCGAGGTGAATATTCCTTAACAAAATTAATATATACATATAATTTGCAAATATGTTGTTTTCCTCCTTCTTCTACCACCTCGCTTCGATTAACTAAGCTCTGATAAAAACTAAACACCCATCATCAATGTTTAAATGTTGAGGCAAGTTGGAACTTCCATCAGCTTATATTAAAATGAATGATGGGCAATTGGTATTAAATGAATTGTGGGAGAATGAAGTGCCCGGACATCGTCCAATCACAGGACCTCAGGGATCCTGTAAACTTTTAAACCAAGCATCTCCACCAAACATTTCTTGGTAGGAAATGCGGCCATTGTTCGATTAAAAAGCACGCCACGAAATAAACAAAACGTTTTTCATTTGTGCATACACAACGCAACCCTGAGTTTTCCTTTTCCGCTAGCAAACAAACGACCCTCTAATGTATGTTTTCTTTCGGTTTGCAGATCTGTCAAGAAAGTTTACCTTTGATTCTAAGTCGTCGACAGCAATGCGTGTCTTCATCTCATCATATACGAAGAAGAAGATATAAAAGCACATGACCCAAAGTCCATTTTACTCCCCTCAACCATCTATCTATCCATCTCTCTCTCCCTCTTCATTCATCATTCATTCATGATGTATCGATTCGTCGTTTGGAGGATTACTGTCACTATACTACTCAACCAACCGTGTGTGAAATGAATAAGGAAAATGAAAGTTTGTTGAATTTGAATTTCAAGTCGAGTTGGCCATCCACGTGTTTGATATTCCTGCAGCTCGTTTATATAAGACTGAATACATTTGAAATTGGGATTTTGAAGTGGAATGAGATTGAACTTTGGTATGTATCATTAACATAAGACGTAACACTATCCATGCACGCAGTGTAACTATTTTATTCAATTATTTTGTCCATATTTACAAGATAAGTTTTTCATATACAGGGTGGTTAAAATGTCACGCAACAATGGAAAATTTTTCGATGGGAAAAATTTGTAAATTTCCATTAGTTACCGAAATTTTGTCTCTAAAATGCAACATTTTAAGAATTTTGTCATCAGTTTTGATAATAATTTATAAAAATCTCAATCCGAAATCTTGTAACTAATGGAGATTTAGGGACTTTTCCCATTGAAAAATTTTCCATTGTGGCGTGACATTTTAACCACCCTGTACATGTGTATCATGAGAATCCTTGCACAAAAAAGTCAAAGTTCAAACTCATTTCATGAATGCAGAGATACAGCAAGTCACCTGAAAGGTGTTTGCCGTTTGTTAGCGTACATGAAAATTTTGTTGAAACCCTTCATGCAACACATGAAAACACAAACACATGAAATTCTCATATGAATATCCCGAGACACTTTAAGCAAAACAAGGTGCAATTTGGCCAGACGTTCTTCGTCTCGCTCCGACGATAATATTATGTTTTAATTTACACATATTCATGACACTTGTAACTTAAGACTTTTGGATTCGTATGAATCTCTCCATGCAAATACGCCGAGCAGCACAGAAACAGACGTACATATATCTTGTACGATAGACGTAAAGTGTTTGAATTTCTGATATTTTCTAATCTTGCCCTTCTATGTAAACTCTAAAACGCAATCGAGTCCAGTGTAAAAGTCTTATTTAAAATATTTCAATTCCTTTGACATCCTCTAGATCTTAGACTAGACGCTACTTACACATCCGCATCCTTGACTTTTAAGCACACCCTTATCTGTTGTGACTCCCAACAAAAAAAAATTAACTCGGATATCGTATTTTTAAACCTACATGTAACCTCGCTAGTGATCCATTTTATAATTAAATTATAGTCGACTATAATGCAACTTATTTCACTGATGATGACGTAGAGAGTACCTAGTTGCAGAAATTGCCTTACAGTCTCGTGTTGTTTAATTTAACATTTTCCGAAACGAATAAGTCGCCATGAATGACACAAGAAAGATAAACATAGACGCGTTGAATAGTATTGTTAAATATTGTTTCTCATCGTCAGTCATCGTTCCATTCTAGTTTTCTAGTCTCGTGTACCACAATGTACTCTCCAGAATATAAGATTGAATAACCTATAAACAAAGATGTTCATTGATGTCATAGGATTTTGTAATCGTTTTTGTATGTTTATGTTACTCACTTTTGTAATTTTTATTAATTTTGTGACATGCATATTATTGTGGCAGCTTTATTAGACTGGACGATGATATATACTTTCATACGCTGCATTTTTCGATTGCATTTTGATCGTACATTATAGTCATTTTGGTTAAGTAGTTAGTTAATGATATGTTAATTTAATTTATTACCTTCGATAGTTAATCGCCGAGAATTTATTTTGAGTCCGCTGTGATAAATCATAACTAAGGAGGAGGTGAGTGAATTATTGGTTTGCAAAAATATGAACGGAAAACTCCAGGCAGGCAGGCAGAGAGATACTGCTTTCACTTTTTCGGTCAGTATACAAGATTAGGTGTTAAGGATAGATTATTCACACACAACGATGCAATTAAGCCAGCTTGGTTGTTCAACAGAGCATATCCAGTAACTGAAGAAGTTGATGCCATTATTTATTTATTATTACATGTAATTAGCTAGTACCACAATGCAATGCCCACCGGGCAGAAATGCCATGATAATTGTAGAAATGCATATTAGTGTATGTATCTAGATTCTTCAACTACATGTTATTATTATTATTATCATGATAATACTCAATACACTTTAATAGCACTCGTTTTTGTCTCCTTCGTGAAGAGTGAGTATGTGTATAAAGGAAGAATAATGATAGACACGAGCATAATAAAACGGCCTTTACCTTTCTCCTTACATGCATGTATGTAAACGTATAAAAAACACTGAAAATTATTTATGCATGGCTTATTTACCACTAATTTGAACACTTTTTTCAATGAGCGATAAAGAAAATTAAAGCATTTTCATAGCAGGAAGAAGAAGATGCGAATTGCTAGGCAGTCAATTATGCATTCATTCAATCTCATCAAAAACTGTCAATCTAATAAAATACGTAAAAAGACCTACATCTAATACCTATATAATGTAAGAGAAAGTATTGTTGTCTAATAATTTACGACCTGTGTGGTAGAATAAATTACATGAGCGGTTAACAAATAATTAGGATATTAATTGACTCGATTTAAATTATTGAGAACGATTCGTCTCTGGTAGTTCACAAGAAAGCCCTAATAAATAACTGAGACGGGGATGTTACTTCCATGTAAAAGTGGTACGTGTCACCCTCTCATGCATTAACCAAATAAATTATATAAAGCAATTTGTAAACATACATCTAACGTAAATGTTTGGCGGAATCAAGGAGTAATAAAAAGTCCCTTCAATGTCAACCAATATGCAAAACTATCATACGTTATCATCCTCAGCTTCAGTGACAAGTTGACAACTGCTGAATACATAACGCGGTTGCTTACATATTTAGATTGGAAATTAGAAATGTAAAAAGTCTGTCTGTATGTTGAAGAGTTGAAGTCATTTTTGGGTAGAATTATTAATAAATAGTTTATCCAATCGAATAATATTACTAGATGATTTTAATAAATTACGGTTTAGATCGAGCTATTATAATTGTACAAATTACGACGACGATGTATAATCACGCTGATATGTACGTACTATGACATATAGTTGATAAACCCAAATAAAGAATCTGATGTTTTATGAAATATTAAATGTATCCCTTAATATTGTACTTCATTTATTTGCATGATTTTTCCACTACACATCAAAAGAACATTAATATTAAATCATTGTAATCATTAAGTTTTGGCGAATGCTTTTTCTATCGTACACAAATTAACGGCAACCGGAATTACCATACAACACATAAAAAGTGTCACACTTTTAATACATAAATTAGACGCTGCTGATGACTTTTAGATTGACTTTAAATGACTTTGGGATTTATAGTCTTTTAAAATAACGAGGTAAAAGAAATCCGTTCAAACGAATTATTAGACCCCTACACGAGTACACACACACGCACGCCTACTAGCGTTGAATTTCCGCTGGAAGAAAGTGATTGACCATATTAATGATCCAAGTAGGATCTTTGCACCCAACAGTAAAATCTCTAAAAAATCGGTAGTTCAAAACCATAACACGATATTTGTTTTCTTCATCTTTTGTAAAATCTATAACGCTGAATGTGTCCTTGGATGTTCTTTGAACTTCTGCCATCCCCCGAAGGACATGAAGGACCACGGTGATTTCTACATGACGAGTTTGTGGAGGGAGCGGCTTCTGGTCAAATTCAACGTGTGTGACTATATACATAAAAAAAGTCTTTGATGAGAATCGTCATGCAATTTCATCTAACAAGCACTGAACACTCAAAATACCTGCGACGGGGGAGTCAGGAATAATGACTCCGACTTGATACGGGAAAGAAAAAAATATATCTTCCGTGGCCACACGTAGCAAATCTTGCTGTGAAACGCTATAATTAGATATCCGTTGTTTCAACTCATGTAGCACTGACGGCTCCACGAGACCCTCCAAATCATCAAACTCCCCTGCTGACAATTTTGAAGACACGTGTGATACAGCCTGCATAAGAAAAAAAGCGTAATAAATTTACGTTTGAGCCTGTCTTCCAATATAAATACAGGATAAGTGTATCGCACCTCATGAGCACCTTCCATAAATTCCTGCATAGAAAAGTCTTTATCGAAATAGGGTTTTATGACGAAATACGTAAAGAACCAGTTTCTTATTGAGTTTGTGAACTTTGGCCAAATAATGACAGGAAGCAGCGGGGTCAAGGGAGGGAGCCTTTTATTGAGCTGAGTTTGATTTTCTTGCTCGTCATGGCCTGATGAGTGAACACGCCGATGCTGACTATACATGAAATATGATACTGAGCTGCTAGGAGTACTGGAGATGATCAATTCATTTTGCACAGGCGAGTAGCTTCCGTTGGGTGTGGACAAAAAAGTGCCTCCTTTCATCAGGTGAGAAAGATAGCGTTCCCCAGTGCTGGATAATAATAGTCCTGATTTTCCTGAACTAGTGGCTGCAATAGTGGATGAAAATGATACTCAAATAAACTAAATCATTTGAAAATAAATCCAAGGAAGGAAAGAAAGATAAACATGAGACGGTTACCACTTTTGAATAGGTTCGCAGGATTGACAGCGTAATAATAATATCCTTTCCGAAGGTTCAGCAATCTTGATGACACCTTGAACGTCATCTCCCTGATCTGACTTAAATGGGACAACCTGCTCCTTGTTGCCCTTGGGATCCTCAACTAAAGAAATTTTATATATAGTTTCTTTCATGAATTATTCTTGTAAATATTATCGATTATTATTTATGATGATCCACATAAACACAACAAATTCAGACTTTGCTTACATTTTCTACATATTCCAAATGTTAATCCAAATAAGACCGATATCCCGCGCCTCCCCAGACGAGAACAAGTTGAGGAACGTAGTTGTTCCTGCGAACGTTGGGAGTTGCAAATAATCTGGAGCCATCGACAAGATGTCGCGGCGGCGCTGGTGTTGTGGTGAATGAATTGTTCGGAGGAAAAATCTTCTAACTGCTGCTGTTGCTGGACAAAGCACCACCACCAGTCAACTGCTAATGCTGTTGCACATCGAGTAGATGTGGAATTTCTGGGGTCACCCAAAATGATACCCTAAAAGCATGGAATATGAAATAAACTAGGGGAAGAATCTCATTCTGAATCTCATCTTAGAATCTCATTTTCCCTGCCCTAAAAGGGGACAACGACTTTCTGCAGAAATCGGTGGCGAACCCTGCACCTCTTTGTCAGAATGATGCACAAATATGCAGAAGCTTTCCTATAGGTAACAGTGTGAAGCCTCTTTCTTGAGATATACGCTGACCGCAGTGTGAAAAGAAGTCTGAAGCAATGTACCCTTAAGGGTTCCTGAAGGGCCACGTCGTCTCCGAGCGTGGTCGTGGGACGACGAGGACGGGGATGGTGAGTGTGTCCCGTGGTGGTGGTGGCTGGATGTTGGTTGGAGAGACGACGAAGCGAGTATTAGAGAAACACGGAGAGAATAGACGGAGAACGAGCGAATAATAAGAGAGGCAGAGAGTGGCAGGAGAGAGCTTAGTTTATCTGCTGCGAGCTGCTCCTCATCACATCATGATTCGCACACTGATCCCCCCCAGAAGGACGAGGACGACCCACTCCACTTGAGCCCCACATCCGCGCCCCCTCCTCCCAACCGTCGCCAACATCGCCATCGCTCCAAGTCACAACCTCCCTTCATCAACAACCCCAACGATTCTTGTTACCAATCAGCACAACACCAAGGCAGAGTTTCTGGAAAAATTGTCCACGTAGTAGTAAGGCAAGTGCTTAATATTCACCAAATTTCCCTCCCTTTTGCATTTACTTGCGTATTATTTAACTGGACATTTTCCCTGATTTTAAAAATTTTATTTTTGAGACAAAAATCGACCACTTTGGTCAATGTTCATTTGTTCCTGAGTAAATTAAAGCTAACTAAATGTAAATAACAAGAATGAAAGGGTAATTAATCTACTTACCAATATATTAACCCGAAATCTAAATTACATGTTCATTGCAGGCAGGAGTTGTTCAGTCGTCCGTGATTTTGAATATCTATAGCGGATAACGTTTCTGCCTTTGGTCAACAATCAACGATTATTGAAGATATCAGGCATATTGACAACTTATGAAATGAGGAAAAACATTCAACACAAGAGATCGAGATAGGACATCATCTAACATTTTGATACTTCAGAACAAAAGTGTGTAGTACATAGTACCCATTTGTGCGTAAAAGTGTTTGAAAAATTTTTTGGTCATTTTTTGATTCGACTATCGGGATGAGCTTTGAGTTAAATACGAGTTCGATACAACTAGGTGACATGTGTACTGATTGGTCATCAGAAGTGTGTGTTGGAACTTTATTTTGACATAGCTACTGTGTGGTGGGGATGGAAATATGTCACAGAAACAAATGTAAATTAGTTTAGCTGATTAGTCCTGTTCTCGACAACCCAGTGCAATATTATTAATCACTATAAGAAATAAGAAGACGTTCGTATGAACCGTTGATTCGTTAAATGATAGGTTCACCCTGTGCGTAAAGTATACAGACTATTGTAAATCACACACAATCTCTGGGAGGGACAGGGAATCATTATTGTCCACTCTCTTCAGTCGAGCCACATTTTGCAATTTCAACAGTGCCAACCAATTATTCACAATTCTTCAAAATGGCTGGAAATCCTAGGAAATTTAGCGAAAAGATTGCTCTCCATACTCAAAAACAGGCTGAAGAAACGGCCGCTTTTGAACAAATAATGAAGGAAGTTACCGAAGTAGCTACCCGGGTAATTAAAACATTATTGTACTCTTTATGTACATGTACATGCTCTTCAACCTTACACTTTTGAATTTATTACTTTTCTCCAGACGTCAGGCGGTGGACCACCAACAACACCGAAAGCAATTAAGCAACCACAACAAAATCTTTTACCAATAACAAGCAATATGAACTGTAGGAGTTTACCAAATGTACATGCCATGTCATCACACCATGATAAGGTATACTTAACATGACTTTTTTCATTTTTTAAAAGTATAATGAATGCTGAAAAGAAAATGCAAATTTCAAAGCATGCGTAGGATAATATAAAATTTATTTTCGTCAATCAAAATTACCAGAAATCAATTTTACCGTAATTTGCTACAATTTAGTAACACAAAAGTCGTAGATTCTTTATTGGTGCAATTTATTTAGTGCGAAACTAATCATTCCTATATTTTATTAATATGTAGGATCCAGCGATTAAAGTGTAAAATTGGAGGTAGTAATTGTGTAAAGTTTTTAAAGAACGACGGATCACGTATCTTCAGAGGTTTCATTGACACGCTGCTGCCACATACACTTCCTCATGATGAGTCATTTTGATTTGCGTTTATTATTGGTTTGTTTTGATTGAGCATAAGTAATTATTGGAGAGTGGCAGTTGAGGTGAGGACTTGGCTTTCCCATAATCTTGATTGCAAGTCGCGTCACAAAAGTCAATGCCACAATAGACTTGTGATGTGGGACAACTTTTCTTGCTCTGATCAGGATGAAGATTGTGATAATAGTTTATAAAATGCAAACAATTAAATCAACTCGTACGTCATCGCGAAATCCTGAAATGCAAAAAGCTACTTAATTATTTTGATAAAACCTTAAGCATATTTATTAACTTCAGTTCAAATTCTATATCATTAATTGATTCCAATTTTTGCATAATGAAACAAGTTGGGATATTTGTGTATGAGTCGCCCTTGTTTGTTAGTACTTGAATTGCTATATAGCTTTATGTAAGATGATGACACCAAAGAGAAAAAAACTGGAGTGAAGAAGCTGAATATCTCAAAGATATGTATCTATAGGTAGACATGGACTTTAATTCCGTCACTAACTATCAATTGTTGTATGTATGTAGTTATGTGGATGGGTGCCATTATTAAGCGCAAAGTGTTATGTACGACAATACACATTGTCGTATGCGGTATGCATGTACACGAGTGTGTTACCATTTCTACTACCTTCTCTGGCTTAGTTTTTTAGCGTTTCATGGAATCAGAATCGTTTCGTTTGCTTGGTTGTTCCACTATGTAATACCACTCTGGCTATTCATTCTACCATTATGCTTTCTTATATCATTTTTTGTCCACTCGCACCATTCACAATCTTATTGGCCACGTTAGAAGTGTTGTACTGCAAGTTAGAAAGTTGTTAAATAGCTTTAATACTGGATGAGTTTGATGCTCAAGGTCTTCAACTTTAGGTACTAATTTATATGTACGAGGTTGGTATTTGGCTGGCGTATCTTTGCCAGAAGAATTAAGGAAACTGTCGGTTTTTTAACAAGAGTTAAGGTGCCAAGTGTGTAGAATTTTTTATTGGGAAGTATACCACACGTATTTATTCTATCAAGTCACAAATTTGAATGGTTGCAGATTTGAATGGCTGCAGTTGCTGGATATTTCTTGTGCATGTTTCATTTCTTTATCATGACATAACGATGACGAAGCAGCTTTCATAAATATACATATTTTGCATAGTTGTGAAGCTGATGAAAATGAAATTAACGGGCGATATATAGGCAACATACTGATAATATTTTTTAGATAGACGTGACAAACATTAAATAGTATTTATTTATCCTTGTTGGTCCGGTCCTCTCAAAACTGATTCAAATACCATGAATGATACGAGTGGATAATATTGTAAAACATTGGTAGACAACGGAATCGGTACTCTATATAAAAATATTCATATCCAGGTGAAATTAGCAAATTTTCATGCGACCACAACAGACGGTCTGTCTTCTGCAATGCAGATGTTCCAACCAGAGGTCATTCATTTTCTTCCTGTGCTCAAGGGGCCGTAGTTTCGAGATTAAATATAATTTTACAGACAGGAACAATGTATTACAAAATATACAATTTGTACTCCGATTCAGGAAATAGGAGATCTGCTACTGGTTTTTAAACCCAAATGAATAATAAATATGTAATGACCTGCCTCAACATGCTTTGCTCGTCTTGTAAATTATAAGTTGTAAATTACAACTTATAATCTTCCTCATGCTCTCATACAAGAAAAACCGCACTAAAGATTCCATAGAATAGTAAACAAGAACCTAACCCTAGTCACTGGTCAAGGACAGAGTCTGAATTTTCGTCAGAATTGGCCGGACCTTTACGACCCCGCGTGCAGTCTGTTAAATATTTCCTATTATCTAGCACCAATTTTTGAAGTACTAGTAGTTACAAATCCTTCCCTTTGACTACCACGACCAGTGGGGCTCGCTTCTTTTACCTTTTGAATTTTCGAAGTTTTATTTGCTGATGAGTATCTTGGATGCGTATCTCATTCAATTATTGTTCGTCCGCTAGCATGTCTCCGACACCAGACCAGACTTGCTGGTTCCATCCTTAGCATTTGAATCCTACAACTAACTAAATAAATAGGCATCAAGGGAGGACGGGAGGAGTTGGCGATTTGTCTGGTAGCATTACATTAATTCTTTACAAGGGTTTTGCTCCTATTCTTCGGGAAAACATTTAAAGTAAGCCAGGCTCAGACAGAATCTCAAGTTTTCAATTTTGGCTTTTCTATGTAATGATGGTAATACACGGTAATGCTGACGTCTCTTTTTGCAATATGATAATGCCGTCGAGATGCCCGTGACTGCACTGTGAACAGTGTGCGTGTATATCTGGAAAATCCAAATTGTAATTTTAGATTGTGCCAGGCACTTCCGTCATGGCAGAAGTCCCACGTCACGTATTAAGTAATGATAAGATACTGCGTTTTTTGTATCTTATCATATCCAATAATAAAACTCACCTCATATAATTCATTGATCCGTTTCAATTTGAAGAGTTTGCTTACGCATAAGAAATTCAGTGTATGTAGACGACACACATGTAATCCACAGGTTATCAGACATTTGTCTACGTAGTAATACTCGCTGCATCCGAGATAAAAACAATCCGTAAAATATGATGGTAAAAATTTAGAAATGATTGCGGACTGTTGATTTGACACTACTGAGAGGGAGAGAGACAAGGTCAGTCGCAATCAAGAACCACTGATATATTTCTTGATGACGATTAACAGGGACAACAAGGAGGACATTTCAATCCTAAAATGGGATCACCTCGCGCCTCTCGTGGTAACTCCATAGGACCCGTCAAGAACCATCCACGATCTCGTACGGATCACTCACCTTACGCCTCTCCACCCAGTGCAACGATGTTGACTGGTTCTATGACGGGGGGAAATTCTTCTGGCTCCAATCTATATTCATCCATGATGTATCAGAATTCGCCATCTTATCTTATCCCTCCATCCGATGGTCCATGGTACGTCTAATTCGACAGTCTCCAACTAAGATTCCGAGCTAAGGAGATGGCGAAAATCAATTGATATACTTTTGAATGTTTTTTTAGGAGAAGAGCCAATTCAGGTAAAAAAAATCAGTCTACTTTGTTTTAAAACTATCCTCTGGTTAATGTCGTAAGCCGCTTAAGCGAAAGGTAAAGGTCTGCACGAGCACTGGTATTAGCCATGGAGTAAGGATGATAATTAATACGTGTTACGAGTGATACTCGTAAAAAAATATAGTTAATTAATATAAATTATTAAGTTGCAACTATAAGGTAGGAACTACTGAAATCTGTAGACTGTAATGAAATGCAATGCAAAGATGTTCAATTCTTTGGACTAATAAACGAGAAAACATAATTAAAAGTGGTAGAAAAGTGAAATCCCAACCTGAAGTTGAAGACCCCAATTTAATCATTCTTTTATTTCAGACTCTGCCCTTCACTCTTTAATTATTCCTTCCGTGGTCCCTGGTACGATATTGCGATACATTTATATCAATCATATTTATGTTGAATTTTGTTAGGGATTTACAATTTGTATGTACTCGGGTGATTCCATGCTGATGACCTAATCTGAGTCTTTGAACCAATCTAGACTCCTCAGAAGAATCTTCAAATAATTCCAATGACCCCCGAGACAATTATGGATATGGAGGACTGTTGGGACATTCTCCAAAGCACAATGATTCTTCTTCAGTGATACCAAATACGGTGGGTGATGGACCTTCATTGTTGGAAATTTCATCTTCCGTTCCTTCCGGATCTTTGCCTGACCTTACTAGTTTTCAGTTTACGCCACCACTTCAGCAGCCTATTGATCCTGAAGATTCTCAATTAACAAACTCCCCGTACTCAACCGTATGTGGCTTTTTTAGATTTCCATTATTATCTATGTTCACGAGTATTTTTTATATATGCTATTGTACTCTAATATTTCCTCTGTATGGTATGTCATTTATGTGTTGCGTTTCAGAGTCCTTTATCCTTGACATACTCGCCTGGTGGCTCGCCCAACCCGCCTCCTCATTCCAATAATTCCCAGCAACAAGGTATAAATAATCAGCGATCTCCACATGGTCATCCACATCATCAGCAACAACAACAATCTCAACAACAGCAATCCCCACATAACCAACAAAATAATCAATCGCAGCAACAGAATATCTTAGACAATTCAATTAATTCTGCATTCCAATTCACATCAGCTGAAAATAATGTAAGTTGATAAGGTCCTATATAAATTCTGAATAATCATAATGAATAGTGAGGAGGAATGATGAGTGACTATTTAAAAAAAGATAATAGTGACACTCGTTGAAACCTTCTCTATTTATAGTATAATGCTTATATTTTATTATCATAAAGTTGTTGTAAAGCTAAATTATAGTTTATTACTCTATTATCTATTAAATTTTGTTTTGTTCATCCAAACCATTATCAGATACTATATTTTGCTTATGATTTCTTTGATTTTTTTTTATAAATTGTTATTATGATTTGACTGATGCAGATGCTGACCGCATATCGATGCCCTCCAAGACCTAGTCCTCAAAACTCTCCTTCGCCAGTAATCCTTTGTTTTTTTACAAAAAATATTTACTTTATATTTACATTTGTTTTATGAAAGAAGGATGATGATCACATTTTTATTATTATTCCGATAAATGTTGGTCAAACCCTATTATGCTTTGTGTAGTTCCGGAGTCAAAGTCCACTGGACGGTCAGTTATCTGGACCATCAAGTCCTGCAGCTCAACCCCAAATGCAGAATTCAGCAGAATCTTTCTACCTCAGTCAGCAGGCAAATGCGTTACAACAACATTTTGAGCAAATCTCAATGGTATGTAAGCTTTTAGTTGTATCCCTTGTGGAATTTTTGTCGTGTCGACTTCCACGTCGCTGCAGAGTTGGCGTCCATCAATCCTTTTTACATTTATTGCATGAAAAGTTTTTATTATTACTATTATTATATACCTTCTTGTTCTCCTCCTCCGGAATGAAAAAAAATCTTGTTTGATGTAGTTGCAAGTATCAAGTAATATGTATTCTGCGCATTTTGGACTTTGGTTGAGTTAAATTTTTCCGTTTTAGGGGTCGCCAGCGCCACCCAGAACTAGTAGCAATTGGCAGGTTAATTGAAATTTATTTTATCATACACTTATGTTGCTGCTTAATGACTGCTTGTTGCTTCTTTCCCTCCTTCAATAAGTAGAATTTTTTATTCTACATAGTGTGTTTGCTGTGTTCCTTGTTTTTAATGCCCGTCGTAGGTATGCATGCTCCCATTCCCCTTACTATGGAGAATGGATTGCCAGTATTCTCCCTCTTTGTTCATCAATAATCAAACTGATAAAAATATATGTAATCTTATAACTTTTGCAAGCCTGCTGCCCAACACATTAATTCTTTGCTATTTAACACATGGAAATGATGACGAAATGCAATTTAAACTTCTTCAATCCGTTTAAATTTTTAACCCTATCTAATGTACATTGTGTTCTAAAAATCTAATGTAGGGAGGCGGAATGGTTAATAACTCTCCTTATTACTACAATACTGGACAAGCACAAATTCAGACCGGAGCAACTGCAGGAATTACAGCACAACAATCCCCCCAGCATCACCAACCACAAACGCCACAAACACCTTCTAGCATACCAGATATTATCTTTACCGGTAACTTGAGCTCTCAGCGAAACTTTTATAGCACTCAACTTTCTGATCATATAACGTTAAGAATAGAATTTTTGGGTACAGATTTCGATGTCCGATCTTCGGAGCCTTTCGACGACTTACTGGTAACTTTAGTTTGAATCATGTCATAAATAATGAAAGATGTGAGGAATATAAAAGCTACATCAATCTTATATGCTTTTCAGGCAACGGAAGCTGCTGCGGCGCAGGCGTTGAGGGAAGGCCTTGGTTCGTTAGATATGGATGGATTTAATATGCTTGCTGACCCAGACCTCGTTCCACTTGATCCTTCCGCCGAAGACTCCTTCCGCCTGGATCGCCTGTGAAATTTCGTGCCCCATTCCCAGGGTTCTTTGTCTCCTCTGTTGGACGAATCCTAATAAGAAATGTTAATTAGTGATAGTTCTGATTCTGGTGGTATTCTCTCCTCAACCTCAACAACGCATCATGATTATATGATGACTTACTGGGTTGCGTGTTACAAGTTTTGTAGTTTACATATAATCCATAGTCGCGAGACTACATTTTATAAGTTCTACATGATGATGATGATATTCATGATACTATTCTAGACCGTAATAATACGACTATTTACAAAATTCTATTATTATGACAGTTTAATAGTCATCAGGTCACACCTTTTCGTTGTGTGACAATACAAAAACGGCACGGTTCTGCACATCGTTGTAAATTTTTTATCAATAACTTTTTCACTACTAACCAATGCGTAATGATATGTTTTTGTCAAACAAATAATAATGGTTTCGCACAGTTATTATATACGAGCACAAAGTAGCGTGTAACCCCAAATGGTGTTTCAAAAATTAACTTGTTAACCGTAAAATGTGCATAATTACCTGCGCTATTGAAAGGATGGATTTTGAGAGGCAATGAGCGGAGGAAATGTGTTCATTCTAGAAATCGGATTATTTTATTTCACTTCCATTTTCCACTATATAGGTCATAAACTTGAAATGATGGAAAGATGAATTTTTGTTTGTTTTATTATTAATTAAAAATGCAGTCCAATTTCAACCGAGTAGTGTTTCATACGAAAACATATTTCAATTAATCACCAAACACAATTCTGTGCTCATGTTGTTAATTCAACTTTTTTGAATTTTGTGTAGCTTTATGCTTTCTTCAACCAACCTGTCAAAAATATTTGATGAATTGATAACATTGTTTTCCTGTTTGATTCAAAGTTAGTTAAAGGAAAACATACTAAGCAACCCAAAAATTTCAGTTTATGCATGTTATCCAACTGATGTTCGATGAATAGATATATAGATTGCGACTAGGCATGTTTTTCTATATGGACTACAAACAAAGATTTCGGTGATAGGTAATTAAAGGGGGTACAAGTAATCCAATGTAATTGTTCTTTGACGCTATACGTGGTGTAACTCTCGGTGCTCTGAAATAGTCAATCCACCAAAATTAACCAGTTTGATTTCAAATTTTTCTCTCATCAAAGTTTAGCTAGTAGTAATTACAAATTATGGAGTATGTGCTACGACATTTAAATTTTATTACATTACAACATATTTTTCTCTATTAGTTAAATTCATTTATGTACAGCACGTTGCAGCTCAATTTTTTAGAAGTTGATTAGGTTTTCGTTAAGTTGATAACTTTATTTGATTTATGTATTTACTCATTTACTTCAGATTTATGTATTCGAGATTATTTTCGTAATATACGGTATTATAGGAAATGCAGAGTAATGTGTCCTTATTTTAAGTACTCAGTGTTTCACCAACTTGATGATTCCTTTGTGATGTGGAGCTTGCACATTTATATATATTCATGTAATATATAGACAGATAGACAGACTTTGGATTTCCTCTCAATTCCTTTGAAGTTTTTTCTCGAGAAAATCTGCAAGTACAACCCTTTCGTTAATGAGTACAAAAGACGAAAATTAATCAATTTTACATAATAATAGTAATAATAATGCATTACAGCTTGAATGTAATTGCCCTCCTTTTACACATAAATATTCCGAATCGAACGGACTATTAAGAAGAGTTATTTCGTATTTCGTTCAAGTATTTGTAGTCCGCATATTCGAAAAAATCCTGCATAATAAATATGTATTGCGTTTGACATTGACCAAATTAACCGAGTCGAGTGTTGTAAAATAATCAAATTGATTATGACCAGTGGGATTTGCAATTACACAGAAATTACACTAAAAAAGCGATATACTAGGTGCATGTTTTACTCTAAAAGAACTTTTGGTAATTAATATACAATTAGTTAAAATGGGCCCTTGTACATATTTACTGAAAAGTGCATATTAATGAGTAGTTGTTGATGAGATGTTAAGTTGGGCTTATAGTAAGTGTACAATCAATTGTATTTTATAAATTTTATTTCGATATGAGAAGATATTGATATTATTGTTATTGCGATTTCTCAATCTATGAATAAGATTTTAATAAACGGTGACTTATATCTAATCTAATGTGCGTCTCTTCTGAAGGTTTATTTCATTTAAGTTCAATAGCAATGCGTTATGTATAACGTAACAATATTACATTACAAATAGCCATGCATAGGGTTAATAAACCGTTGCAAACGAAATGTAGCAAAGGGCTGAAGCGACACGGTCATGGACGGTCAAAACTACGTCGATTTTTGAAATCCCCGCCCAAAAATACGTCTAAAACGATCACGACAAAAAATTCCACATTGTCGACTTTGGCGTCGTCTACACGGTAAAAATCATGTCGATTTTTGAAATCCCCGACTAAAAATACGTCTAACTAGTAAGACGGTCAAAATAAAAAATTCGACATCTTTGACCGTTTATCTCATTACCGTGGCGCTATGACCTTCTGACCTACAATCCGTACTACTTCAAAAATTAGAAACACGTTGGCGAAAACCGCATTCACCTATTTACTTGCAAATCATAATTATCATGATGTGAGACTGGGGAAATTGAGACCAAGTTGAATAGCAAGCGGCCAATTTGCAAACTGATGCACAAGCCGCCATAGGCAATGAACTGACGTTGCCTTCCGAAATTTATGTCCTTTCGGCTTTCCTCCCATTACTTTTAAAAATATGACTTCTAGCCCTAAAGCAGGTCCATCTTTCGCTGTCGAAACTACAGTTAAAGCCGAGCCATCAGAAGAACCCACCGCTGGTAGCAGCAATATTGGTCACAATAACGATGTAGCCTGCTTTGCCTGTCACTGGGAACATCTGAGATCTGAAAAGGTGGACTGTGGGTGCAAATCATGTCCAACAAGTTTTCATAAAAAGTGCACCAATCGGAGAGGGTATCCTGAAGCTTGTTTCAGTGAAATCAAGGGAATCCTAAACCTTGAAAAATGCCAGGAATGTGTTGCATCATCTTCAACGTAAGGATTTTACGTAAAATTTTTACTGAAAGACAGAATAAGTGCGATAAAATAATGATCCTATTTTTGATTGATCCTAACTAGGAGCCTGGAGCGTTGGAAATATGTGAGCCGTTGTGAACTGAGCACCATTCTGAAAACCGTGTGCGATCGTTGGATCAAGTGGCTTAAGGTCAAAGCAGACGTAAGCATATCAAGTCAATCATAAATCTATATCATTAAACACACAGTAGTATTATTAGGTATATGTAATTACATTTCTGATTTTTATCCAACAGAAGGTGGATCCTCACTATTCTATTATCTTGAATGCATCCAACTACGGGCATAGAGTATACCAGGACTTCAGAAGCTGTCGGCCTCAAGTAGTCGACATGAAAACTTTGGAGAACCTCGTGGTTCAAGAGCGATTTCAAACTGTTGAAGGCTTCATCACCCAGCTCAAATGGTTGCTTCACAATTCGATTGTATTTAATGGGAGTAAGTATTAATTTTGCAGCCTTTTCACATTTGAATTTGTTACAAGCTTAGCTTAACTTAATTGTATTATGTATGTATTTATGAAGGAACTGCCCGCGTTACAGCACTTACATCAGAGTTTCTGACAATGGCCTTCACGGATCTCAATAATGTTGTCTGGACCTGCGTGGATTGCCAGTTGCAGATAAACGTTACACCCCAGGATCGGAGCCACGATTTTTTTCTTCTTCCGTGCAGAGTAAATCAATAAAGCTTTCCAAAATATAAATATATAATGATGATGATAATTAATCGAGAACATTTATGGCTATTTGCAGACGCCCCATCCTGTTATTTGGGTTAAACTAGACGGCTACCCATGGTGGCCAGCCAAATTAATTGGTACAAAGAATTTTGACGAAGATACTGTTCAAGTATTTTTCTTTGGAGATTACACAAAAGCTTATATGAAAGTGAAAAAATGTAAGTCGTACTCTCGGCAAAAAATCGACTCCACGAAAAAATTTAAGAATATGGGCACTAAATTGAATAAAGCAATAAAGGTATGATAATTAGCATTAATATCGAAAAAATAATACTTTAGTATAATCTGAAACTCTAATCTTCATAACTACATAGGAAGCAGACGCCTATATTGCTGCATTGGCTCAAAACAAACACTTTGGGCTTCAAGTGGTTAACGAGACGGCGTCCGCACTGCCAAACATAACGACGGATTTTATGAAGACATTGTTCCCAACCGTATGTACTTCCATTTATGAAAATAAATAACAAACCAAGTTAAGTTGGATTAAAGTGTGTGTGCATACGTTTTACAGATGGAGGAGGAAGTTTTGAAGGATATGGTTAACCCATTCACCCCTCTCTTCCAAGTTGGAATATGAATGATGGAAAAAATTTCGGAATTTTTAGTTTTAGAATTTTCTCTCATATAATATGTTTAATAGATTTGTCTCAGCCGACCATAAGCTATTTTAAATACTGAAGTTTGAAACTCAGCCATTGGTACTAATCATACGAATAGTATTTCTGCAATTGGTTATAGTCGAGTGTGCTAAAAATAAGGAGTTGTATAACAATAAAAAAAGTCAATATAATCGAGATATTTAATAATGGGCCACACGTACTCACACGGAACTATTATTAATGCAAGATGACACAGGATCGAATAATGAATAATGATAATTTAACCAAGGGATCAACCAATACGAGTTTATTTCACCTCAAACAAGAGTTTCATAAAAATGTTGACACTTCATATACTATGTTCTTATCTTAGCGGCGCCCTTGATAACCGCCAGCAGGCCCAGTAGCGGTCACTTGGGTAAGTTGAAGATTGCTAAGATTTTGAAAATCGATCATTTTCAGCATATCTTTAGTTTGGGCGTCAATCTCGATGATGTCCCTGTCCAACGCAGATTCCTCTGGGACGTAGTTATCCCTTCTCTCTCGTTCCTCCTCTTGCAACTTAATTGAAATTCCCCTCACTTGGCTGTTTTGTAATCGTCTCATCAAATGGGTCACAAACCTATAAATCAAAACAAATTGCACGCATTATTACATACACTCTGTATTAACAATATTAATAGTACAAATCCATAATCGTGAATACATTATGCATTTATTCATTTGGGTTAAAAGCTAGAAGATCATTTATTTACCCAGCAATTTTGTTGCGCAGAGGTTTCGAGGGAATGATCGCAATCTCTTCACAGATCCTCTTATTCGTGTGAAAATCGAGGGTCAGTCGTGTGTAATACTTCTCGATGATGACTCGAGAAGCCTTTTTAACCGTTTTTGTTCTTACGCGACCCTGCAAGATTCATAAATGACAGTATATGTTATCAAATTCATATTAATTCATTTAACTAAAAACTAGATGCGGTTTTGAATCCTTTCCCTCTTAATCGATGACAAATCTGTAAACACTACCAAGTAATTATCGCCTAAATTACCCGAACCTTCCCTACAAGTTACAACCCATTCATCCTATATACAAAAATTGTCGATCCCTCAATTTCTAAAAAACAACTTTATATTCCCCCTTTTCCAGCAAGCTAACTCAACCACGAGGGATAAGCAATAAGGAATGTCAAATTAAAAATCATAAAAACCCTCAAAATTCTCCCCAATCTATCGGACCCCATGCAACCCCCACTCTAATGCTGCCCCTGGGAAGAAGTAAAGTGGGTGTGGTTAATAGTGTGGGACTTACCATGTTTCCGGCGAATTTCTACGCAGAGCTGATTTTCAAAAGTGTGGCGATTGAACAGCAGAAGCAGATTTCCTCTCTACGAGCATGTGAGAGTGAGTGAGGAAGAGCCGGCATGAGGGCGCCACCACCGCGGCCGAGGGCGAAATCTGCAGGCGGTAGACATGGGTTCTGTCCAGCCTGGTTTTCCTCGGCAGGTTCGTTGGCTCGTGCCTCGGGATTCGCAGAGGGAGAACACAGAGCGAGATTCAATTCAAAATTTTGGCAGCCGAGTAAATAAAGTGTTTCTTTTCAGGAATTTAAAATTCAAAAAGTTTTTTATAAATAAATAAATTATTGTCTGCGTTGTATTTTAAGTTGAAACAGTTTGAATGTCAATTTGAATCCTTAGCTGGAATATCTATATTACAATGGTAAAGGATATACATACAGCTTTTGGAATTAGATATTAACAAATTATGCATTTGCATAAATTAGTTTGATGATTTTAAGTTTCCTGTTACTGCTGCTTCACAAAAATGATGGTTTGTTTTGTTCCAGTTGTCCATTCCAGATATCCATCACTCGATCGTGCAGCACAATACATGGCAATGGTAAAATCTGACTTTCAGTGATTTATGACATGATTTATGATTGATAACATTTGCCGGAAAAAATACTTAAAATAACACTTAATCTGTTTTTTGTGCAAATATTCAGGTTGGAGCTGAAGAATGGCAAGACGTACGACGGTCATGCGCAAAATTGGAAGGAGGGATGAATGAATGATGAGATGAATCTTTGTCTTAAATTTGACTGATTTGCAGTACCCATTCTCGCCTCCCTGAACTGGCCTTCCACCAGGTGCAGTAGTTGATAAATCAAAAGACGTCAAAAGAAAATGGCTAGAGTGTAGACTTCATTTAGCTTTAGCCCTGGTCAAGGTCAGATTCGCTAGTGATTTTTTGTTCAGATTCATCCATGATGAAACTACTATTACCTAATTGTGCAAAATTCAATAATTCATTATCAATTTTTCCATATATAAAGCATGCGAAATCTCAGCTCTTTTGGACCACTTTGGTAAAATGGTGTGAGTCACCCTGTTCAGTCCCTCTTGTACAAAATTCCTAGAAATTTAGTTCATTCGTAAATCTGAGACGCACTGGCACCCTGTCAAATTTTAGCTATTTCTAACCAATTTTGACAACCAGTGTGGATCGCAATGTTGCGTCTTGCGTCTCTCTAGAAAAATTTTATTTATTTATTTGACTTCAATTTTTGATCTAATCTGCATCTCCAGCATGCCAAATTTCAGGTTCCTACGACTTATAAATTTGATGATATTTACCCTCACCGGTCAACCACTCTACCGATCTTGCCCATCTTTCAACTTGACCAAGCCCTTGAAGAGATATCCATTTGAAGACTAAGTAACTAAGTTGGTCGTAATCGGTTCAGGGGTTCGTCCGCGTCGTGTCACAGACAAACAAACGTGACGATCGCATAAGCCCTCACTCAGGCTAAAATTATAAAATGCTTCTGGACTGATTCCTCGTCCCAATGGGTATTGAAACAAGGAGGCAGGCAGGACCTGCCACTTATCAAATAAATCGGATCGGTATAAGGATAACGTATCTCACAGATGAGAAAACTTCAGAGGAGGAGTATTGCAGGCAAATGAGAATAGCATCAAGCTTTGGGTCTCGTCCAAGTAGGAGGTTTTTATATGATAAGTTTCAATTATAAATGATTCGATTGTTAACATTTATAACTTTTCATTGAATAATAATAACTCGTTGGTTCACGTTTAATATGTAACATGGATTGAAAATTTTATGAGCAATTCTATCATGTAGAGGCAAAATTATTTGACACTTTATCAGTCTATAAGGTTACGACAAATGGCCGAGTTACAAAATAAATTTTCATTTTTATTAGCCCGAGGCAGGGCTTATGGAACCGTCATGTCCGTCCGTCCGTCATCTCTAACGAGCTGACCGATTGACTTGAAATTTTTACCATGTATGTACATATTGGACAAGTTAGAAAACGAGTTCCAAGATGGGCGAAATCGGTCAAGTGGTTGACCGGTGGGGGACATGTCAGTAGGTGGGATAAAATTTCGAAATTTAAAATTGTCGTAGAAAGCTGAAATTTAGTACAGAGGTAGCTAATGACGTTTAATAGAAAAAAATGAATTTAAGTTGGGAAATTTTTTATCTTGAGGGGCGCTATGGGGTGACCCATACTGGTTTTTCAAAATGGTCATATCGAGCTGAAATTTGGCAGAGAGGTTGCTTATGGGGCCTAATGGAAGAATATGAAATGACATTGGCAGAATTTTTAGTTTGAGGGACCCTATGGGGTCACCCATATCGATTAGAAATTGCTTTAAAAACATGAAATTCGGCACGGTGATACTTAATGGCTTCTCATTAAGGAATATGAAGTTAAAATGCCAAATAGTAGAAAATATCTAACAAACGTTTAGCCATCCCCACCTCGGAGGTTGGTAATATTATTATGTCGGTGAATTCGAAAAAAATAGAAGTGAGTTCGGACTCACCGAGTCAGGAACAGAATCCCTGACTCGGAGTCGGACCAAATGGAGTCTGCACTGTTGATTTCAAAAAATAAAAGTTGCTAAAAATGCATGTAATACATGGGTTATATTACAATGGGAAATCTAATTTTTAGACCTTTTCAGATGGGCTTATAGATTTTCAAGATGCCTATCTGTGAGCACGATAACTCTCTTTAAGCACAAGCTAGCGCCCTGGAATTTTGCGAAGTTCATCTTTGGGTCAAAAGTAAGGATGAGATGGGTTAGGTCGGTGGGGGTTTTAAGTGGTGAGAGGTTGACTGAAAAAATATTAAACGCCATAGAAAAGTCCCAAATTTGTCGAACGAAGTTGAAATTTTGACAACGGGTGAGACCATAGGGACTAATCCATACAGATTTTCCAAAAATATGTCACTCCACCAGTTAATGGTCGTTTTGACCGACAACCGCAACGCCTGACTCGGGCTAAATAAAGGCTGCACATTGGAAATTTCAAGTTTACTATTAGACATAATACCCTCGAGATTTTTAGCTTAAAAAATCAATCTAAAAATTACGATGATTTCATCTTTCAGAATGAAGTCTCTATGTCTGCCCATTCAAAAGTTATTAAAGGTCAAAATAGTTGGTGTCTGTGCGATGGACTTCAGACACCAATGATTTTAAAAATAATTATTTTATTTGTAACTCGACCATTTGTCGCAACCGTTAAGGGAGACGCGTTACCTAGATACTTAAGGTCAAGCAATCGTGATGTAGAGGGAGTGAGATATCAAGAAACTTGCTTAGGCGTGCATGGCGACCTAAAAAATATCCAACATTCTCATCTATTACCAAGATAGGACGAAAAATAGGTTTTTAAATTTTACTAATCGGTTGACTTTTTAAAAAGTTGTGCCAATGGTTATGGCACCTTGACTAGACATGACAGCTTCGTAACTACATATATCTCCACTCCTGAATGACGAATAAATATTATAATGACAGGCAACATGGATTTCAAAAAGTTGAGATCAGACAAACAGTTTGGGGTTTAGTGTGGCTATAGAAAATATACAATGTAGTTTTGTGTTAAAATAATGGTTCTCGTTCTATTTGCCAACATGGTAGTTAATGAGTTACACTGAATTAGCCACGTGTTTAGTGCATGATTTGAGCCTGATGCTTTTATTGTGCAATCATTATTGTCACTTAGGTCACTCTCCCTCGTGCAGCATATCTCTGACAGAATATCTGTACTGCAGATTCTGTAGTATCCAGCAAAGCTATGTAAAAATATAAATATTACGCTAAATGAAAGATGTATGTATTCCCACGTTTATCTAATCAAGTACTTATGTAATTTTAAATCCATGTAAAATATATGCGACGAGATTCCTAGAGTGCCGTGTACACATTTCTTACAAATACGAAATATGCTTGCACATTTGATATTACAATTGATAAGGAAAGCATGGCCCAAGTAAGGTAGAGTGGTACACAGAGCTGTGTACGGGTTCAACCATAAGAGAATATCACGCTCGCAGTTCTTATTATGATCCAATTGATTAAAAAGTTCTTACTTATTGCAAAACTCTGCAACACTTCATGAAATGTATGCATGTGTGCTAAACCAGCTACCTCGACTTCAACTTGATGTCTTGAAGCAGTTTTTCCTGTGTACGTATAAATGACACGTTGGTACTCATGGGGTTCAATCTTTGCATATAGCGGTTCATCATAACTGTTTCTCCATAACATTTATTGCTATTTTATATATTTCGCATAATTAACTTTGTCATCATCATCCTAATATCCCCAGTCTCTTGCTTGTATTTACTGTAATGTATGAATATATGTATGAGACTGACAAAGTAAAAACACGAAAATTCTGTGTGATCATCACTTTTGCATCGTCGCACGCATGGATAGATCTATAGTCGGATTTGCGAATCATCATTTGATCGAGTGGTTTATGTTTATGGCAGATGTGCATTTGTTGAAAAGTCATATCAGTATTTTTGAAAAGCCGTGTGCAGATTTGTGTGGGGATTGACCTCACTCACGTAATGAGAATTGCATATTTTGTTGCAGAAGGTAGGAGATAAGCGACACGGAAATTGAGACAAGTGGTGTTTACAACCGGGGTGAATTGGACTCGAATTATTATTGTTGTGAGTGAGTGGAGCTCTCCAATCTCGTCGTCACACAACTCTCCGAACTGCGAAGAAGAATGCTCAAAAATAAAACCAAAACAAGTTCAAGCTGCTGCACGTATACAGAAGAGGAGAGATAGTAATCATCTCGATCACATCATTTGCTTTTACTCACACACAAGCAGCAGCAGCAGCAAATGTACGTTGAAAGATTTCAATAATTGTTGGCTCATCATCCATTGTTCTCTCCAGGCAAGGAAAATTCATTAATATCAACAAAAAATTGCCCTCCTTCCCTTCTAAAACAACAATACAGCTTTTAAACCCAATTTTGATCTTTGTTCCTTGATAGGTTGGAAATAAGTTTGATTTGAATAATATTTCGACTGGGATTTGTTCATAGTATTATTCAATAAACGAGAGAGCCTGATTTACTAAAGTTTATAAAACAGTTTACCGAATAAACTTTTTGGACATTTCATAATCGTAAACAACTATATTTGAAAAGGAAACTATATATTTCTTAAAATATCGTAATTATGAACAGAACCTTGAAACTTTGAACCTAGACTTTGAAATGTCACTCGCACTCAAACATACCACGAAAGTAACTCAAAATTGTGAAATAAAACCCATTATAAATACTCGAGTAGATAACGATTTAAAATAATTGCTCTGAGCAACAGCAATTGATCTCAAAATATTTGAACCGTGAAAAAAATACCAACCATATTTTACAAATCAGCCTAAATTGATAAAACTAAAATAATGTCCACTTTAGTTTACTAACATATAACTCATTTTCAGTATATTTTTTGTCATTTTCAGAAAGACAACAGTTTTTGTACGTATAGTCAGCGTAGACACCCAGATAAAAAATTTGAATTTATTTACGTTGAGCAAAAACCTAACTACTGACCCTTCAACCATTCAAAAACTGTATCCTGACCTATCGTCTCTACTAAGAAGCAAAATCACACACTCTGCCGTGTAATATAGTTCAAGTTAAATGATGACATCACGGCGAATCCTGAAATGTAGAAGTCTTGGGGGAATACGTTTCAGTTCTAGTCAGCGTTTGACATCGCTTCTGCGTCCTAACAGGCCTACTCTACCCTTAAAATCGGTTTCGATATACTCGCTGCCAGAGGCATCTGAGGGTATTTTTTCCGGCGGTCTTGCTTGGTTTCCTGTTCGACATATTTGCTCTGCTGGGAATCAAATTGATGGTAAAAAATAATCGATTTAATCAATAATAATTTAAGACGTTTGAATGATATACTTAAGTTACTTAATGTACGTGACATTTATTTGTAGACTTTTCGCAACAATCAAGTGCTAGAAACCCTCCTGGTGGATCTGGATCGACTCCACCTCCTCCACAGGAAGGGAAATCTCAAGATATTAAAAGATCAAGTGGTGGACCTGGTTCTGGAAGAGGAGGAGGCTCGACATCCGGTCGGGATGGGTTAACCTGCCCAAAATGCGGCGACCCTTGTGTCCATGTGGAGACGTTTGTCTGTAATTATCCATATATCTTATACTAAAGTCTTACAATATTATGAGTAATATAATAATTTTTTTTTTTTCACAGCATCCACAAGATTTGTAAAATGTGATAAATGCCAACATTTTTTTGTGGTATTGTCCGACTATGATGGCCGTAAAACGGTTCGAGAAACTTTGAGGCCGGATGCAACAGAACAGATTCCCAATAACGGCGGTCGTTATGCTTACCCTAACGTCAACCTCAAGAAGCAACCTCCGCCTCCCAAGAAGATTTTTGAGTAAATAATTTATTTGCTTTATTATTGCGATTGATAATGCCAATACTCGCGAAATTTGAGTATACTTTTTGTATTTCACTATACAACAATTACATATCCATAATTTGTCAGGTACCTGGACCGTCATGTAGTGGGACAAGAGCAAGCGAAAAAGGTGTTATCGGTGGCTGTCTACAATCATTATAAGCGGCTCAGCGTAAACCTGCAAACACCTACAACAAAGTCGTCAACGGAGCCCGCTTCCGCTCGGAACTTAGATGGTTTTACCGACCTCTCCAATACTTTTTCACACCGTATATAAATTACCACCTTGCGTGTTGTTGCAAGGAGAAGTTTCAATTTATTAATGGTCAAATATGTATTTATTATTTAGATCTCTTGCATTTGGGTGGCTTGGGAGGACACAATTCATTGGGGGCATTTCCGCAGGGACAACAACAACACACGCATCCCAATCACTTAGGTCCAAGTTGGGCTAATTCTGATACCTATTACGAAGGTCGACCGGGACAGAGACAACCTTCGTACGTTGGTATGGGGCCTGTTTATGGACAACCACCATCGTCCCCTCCACAACAACCACCACCCCCAGGTGGAGGAAGTAGTTCTGTTACCGGGAGTGATATACTTGATGCTGGAAACCAAGAACCAAAATTAGACAAGTCCAATATCCTCCTGCTAGGCAAGTGTACTGAAAACAAGTGTTATGCAGATTTTTTGTTAATTATTTTGTTAATATCACAGCGCGATTACTTCAAAATTTAACGAGAATTTCTGCTGTAACAAAATAGGTCCAACTGGGTGTGGGAAAACATTATTGGCTCAAACTATTGCATTGTGCTTGGACGTGCCTTTTGCAATTTGTGACTGTACAACTTTAACTCAAGCAGGTTACGTTGGTGAGGATATCGAGTCTGTAATTGCTAAATTGCTTCAAGATGCCAACTATAATGTGGAAAGGGCACAATCAGGCGAGTAAACAATTTATGTTTTCATTTTATATCATCTTATTTCATTTTCATCTTCATTTTATTGTAATTTTGTGTGTCTTTGTTTGGGTGTCAACAGGAATTGTGTTTTTGGATGAAGTAGACAAGATTGGAGCTGTTCCGGGTATTCATCAACTTAGAGATGTTGGAGGGGAAGGCGTTCAGCAGGGGATGTTAAAGGTAGCCGTAAAATTGCATTATTATACATTATAATAAGTAACGCTAGATTTTTTCGTTCGGCGGTCTTAGCTCAATAACATGTATGCGATGGGGTAATTGTTCCAATCTGTTCCATCCAACCGTGTTATTATGTTACACTGCTACCAAAGGCGAAAATTTGTATACATACATATATAAATCGGGCGTGACCTATTAACAATATCAGATAGTCGATGCTTTAGAACCAAATTTTTAATTAATTTTGCAATCATGTAGATGTTGGAAGGCACTATTGTCAATGTACCTGAGCGAAATGCCCCAAGAAAACTAAGAGGCGAATCCGTTCAAGTGGATACTACCAACATTTTATTTGTTGGTAAGTAATCCAGTATATTCCTAATTTTACTCGTTGCATTGGAATAATTATACGCTTTTTAGCTTCCGGAGCGTTCAACGGAGTCGATCGCATCGTATCACGAAGAAAAAATGAAAAGGTATAATTTTAATGCAATCTATATTACGTATTTTTAAAATATCTTTTAATCTTGTTCAGTTTGTTATCTTTGAAATTGTTCGTAATTAATCACTCCATGTATGTCATTACTTCATTTGCACAGTACCTTGGTTTTGGTGTCCCTACCTCAGGATCAGAAGGACGACGAGCAGCCTCTCAGGCTGGAGTTGCACATATGACAGGCGTGGGAATTGGAAGTGCTGCTGCTGACTTTGCAGAAATGGACGCCCTGCTGAGACAAGTTGAAGCCAGAGACTTGATTGAGTTCGGAATGATACCGGTATGCATGGCTATTGTCGGTCGAAAATGTGAAAATTTTAAATCTTAATTTAGTCCGTCTGTCTATCTGTACAAACTCGAGTTTCTTAATTTTTGTATAGGAATTTGTAGGTCGCTTTCCAGTTCTAGTTCCATTCCATTCACTCAATGAAGATTTGTTGGTTAGTCTGAGTCATTAAAATAATTATATTGCTATTGTTAATTGTTAATTTTGCAACTATTATTAACTATTTCTAATGTGTGCAACTATTTCTACCTCAATAGGTTAGAATACTTACGGAGCCAAGGAACGCAATGGTGCCTCAGTTTCAAAGATTGTTGGGAATGGATAATGTATGTAATTCTATTATACGACGTTACCGTCTTAACCACTTTACCTACTGGTATGTATATGTTATTATACGCAATAAATTTATAATATAGGTTGACTTGTCATTTACATCGGATGCATTACGAGGAATTTCACGACTAGCCTTGGAAAGGAAAACAGGAGCCCGTGGGTTGAGAGCAATTTTAGAAGGGATTTTGCTTGAACCCATGTTTGAAATTCCGGGATCAGATGTCACTGCAGTACATATAAACGAAGACGTCGTGGTAGGACGTCATGCTCCAATTTACACGAGAAACTTGGCCATGGACAAGGAACCTACATCGAACCCTAGCGATAACTCGAGCGTCCAGGACGAAGTTATGCTTGAAGTGAAAAGACGAGTTTGAAAAATTATTGATGTGTACCATTTTCTACAACCTGACGAACGCTTAATGCAAAGTGTAATTTAAATTTGTCGTAAATAAAAAATTGTAATGCCTTCCACAAGTATGGAGAATATGGCCAAATGGATTACGAATCAAGCAGAATAGATAAGATAGATAAGCAGACATGAAGTAAATCCGTGACAATTAAGGTTACAGAGTAAAAAATAATAATAACAATCTCACTAATCCACGCCTAAAAATAGTAAAGTTTATAATTCACTCATGTGTTGTAATAGAAAAAATGTCCCTTGGGAAATGTGTATAAAACAGAGCATGATTCTATTGCGTACATTTTATCGGACTGATGTGAACTATTTAACGATTTGTCCAGTTTGTTAGCTTGTTTAGAAAGAAATGTTACTAATGTTAGTAGAAGGTGCGGACTGCAGACATTGTTTGGCGTTATATATGTTCAAAAACAGTGCTATATTCATACCTCAAGTAGATAGCGCAGTATTTTAAAATACACACCAATATACTACTGCTCGTTCAAAAAAAGTATGCACAAAACCTCTGGACTCCGATTTAAGTATCTCCATAACCTCGCCCACTGGGATAGGAGAGATTTATACTTGTTTACTTATTTTAGTAAGTCACTGCATATTAATTTAGAATGAACAGTAGTTATTAGTGCATGACCTTCCTCGATCGTGTATAAGTTTTACTTGATTGAATTTTATAATGAATTATATATGTAAGTAATGTATGATATGTACGAAGAAATAAACCTGTGAACGATTGATTAGCTAGCTATCGTTATGTTGTTGTAATGTAAATATTTTAGACTAAATTCTTATACGTAAACTTTACTCGATAGTAATTTGATTCAACACTATTTGGAATATTTCTTATTGGGAATCAATTTTATTGTAACTGATCGATAATAATTTACGATGGTATGTACATAATAATGTGTGCGAATGCAATCTTATGAAATCCCTTTATATTGTTTAAAAATTAAAAAAAAAACGATTATGAATACAAAAGACTTGTTATAAATTAGCGGAAAACAAAATGTATGCGTTTACATTATTTAAAAATCATTTTATTTCAAATCTTTACATTGCGACCTATTTAGCAATTTAAGACAGCAGAATGGCAATTTATTGAGAAACAATTATTAATATTATTGTACATTTATTAATTTCTCGTTCATTAGTTTCATCGGAATTCTTGTACGTAAGTTCATAGTACCCATAGTTTAACATTACGATTATTTTTTCGTTTCATGTTTCTTTTTTATAACAACAACCTCTAGCGCATTTACGAATTTTTTTCTATTCGAGTCGGTATATAAACACTTGCACACGGTTAACATATAATGGATTAGGAAAAAGTCAATTTGTCGGAACTAAATTAAAATTATTAATTAACAAGAAAACGTATACTAAGATTCAAAGTCAAAATCAGGGAGCTAAATAAATAATCCGTTGGCAAAGTCCTCAGCTATAATATAAAATCTATAATAAGTAACCAATTACTTGCATGTTTTAGTTTGTTATGGCTGTTGAGATGATTAGAACTTTTTTGTAGTCTTTTTTCTTCCCTTTATTAGCAATCCAGACATGTCTACTTTGTCTTCAGAAAAGAAATTCGGTACTCTTTTATGTAGGCAAGACAAAGTACTTTCCAGCCGATCCGCTTGTTTTGTTCTCTACAAATAAATAGAACATGTGTATTACGAGGAAGTATTACTCAAGTATACGAAATCGTACGAAAATATCAAACTTGCAATGAAACATACCATTTTTCTTAATCTGAGACGCTCCAAAGTATTAAGTGAGCGTTTTCCTTTTTTCCCTTCTGACTTTTTAGATTGACCTTTGTCCCGATCTACGGTGGCCTGAGTAATGATGGGTTTTTGTCGAAAATCTGGACTTGGTGGACCATGTGGCTACACAAAAATAAAATTTGCAAATTCAGATGATAAAGATATAATCTTATCTGAAATGCATCTGCGTAACTTACATGAACATTCCTCTGTATTTTTACTCTTGTCTCAAAAAATCTAAACGCAAACGGTTGTATGTTGGTGTGTTGAGCTCTCCCAATTTTGTTAAAAATCCTAGCAGTCTTATCAACCCTAAACTCGCAAATGTATAAGTGCTCCTCAAGGCAATCTACACATAGAGTACAACTTTTACTTATGGAACACAGTATATTTAATAGCATTAAACCAAATGTAAAATTAAAGAAGCACATACCAATTGGTCTCCCTTTGCAATAAGTTGCAGGGTCTACAACCCAACACCGACCGTGGATGAGCTCAATGGGAACATATTCCGTTACAGGTGATCTCAAAATCTCATTAGGATAAAACCGTCGTGTTGGCTCGTGAAAGGTTTCCTTTGGTCGCAAATAGTGACAGCCGACCACAAAAGCTCCGCTACATGACAAGCAATAAGAAAATGTAAATAGGATTTTTAAAACACAATTGGGAAATAATGATATAAATAGACATGTTAACTGTTGTGCAGTAAAATTAAGAATGGCATTGTTTGTATACCTTGCTTGCTTCCAAAGTTGTTCAACTTTAACAATATCACATTGTTCAGGATCCTAATTTTTGATAATAATTGATTGTGACTATTAATGTTTCTTTTCTTATAATTAATTATTACACTATATAATTGAAACATGCATTATAATGTGATATAAATGTATATATGAATTACCAGGGGTGGAGCAGTTAAGTAGGTTAGTCTAGTCTTTTCCTTCCCATCCGGACCAATCTTTTGATCAGGTGGATAATCTCTGAGCACGTAGACATGGTCTCCTTTTCGAATTACAAAGTTGTCTTCTCGCACCAAGGTTTTGAAATACGTCTTATCCGGTTCTTTGTCATACGTTAACAAGGGAATCTCGAAATTTACTTCTCGTGGCTGACACTGCTCACAAAAGTAGGGCTGCTCAGAAGGTTCAGCGGCAGTAGATTCCTGGTCTTCATCACCACCACCATTGTGAATAACTGGAAGAGGTTCGCAAACAGCCAATTCGTCTAAATCAATCCGTTGAGTTTCCATCTCTGAAATATCAATTTCTTCATCACATGAGATGTCGCACAGCTTATTATTTGAATTTGAGTCATCCTCGTCGTGGACAGGTAACTCTTCATTCACGTTGATAACAATGTTGTCGATTACAACATCCTCCTCTGAAATATATGAATGATTCAAGATATTCCTTGAACTCATTGGCACTAATGTTCCTTGTGGTCTAGGTGGTTGAAATTTGTGGGGAGAGTTTTTAAACGCATTTTTCCTTCTGCTTTTGTAATTTTGTGTCGTCCGTCTGTTAGCCAGTGGTACTCGCATACAATCGCAATGTTGCCAAACATTACATCTATCGCATTGAATCATTGTCCCTTCATCGTCAATACATCCACAGATGCATCTAATCACTCCATCGTCTCCTGAGTGGTCTGCATCCAACAACGCAGGTAAGTTAATCATTGATCCCTGCCTCCCTGTGGTGGTGCTGGTGACGGTGATAAAAGGATCCAGCTCAGTCACTGCTTTCGATTTGAACTCTTTATACTTGTTTTTCACTTTCTCTGCTGCTTTCGACAATGGTTTGTCTTTATCAGTTCCAGTAGTTGCACTTAGAATTATTCCAAGGTGAGCCTCCAGGGCTTGTAAATTTTTGTATTCACCTCGGAGAATCTTTCTTCCAAGGGTAGTAAGATCAAATGCTTCGACCTTATTTTCAGCCGGTGTTGTTGAAAACGATCCTTTTCGTTGTTGAGGGAGCCCCATAAACTCCTTACAAATTAAGTTGCCGTCCATATCTATAAAAAACACAAAAAATTGTGATACAGATATTTAAATTATGCTTGATTGTGTTTAACGACGACAGAATACCCATTATAAACAAGCATCATGCAGTTTTCATCCATATTATAATGCAACATGTAAATCATACCTTTGAACGTCGTTAACTTCAAGTAAAGCTCGTACAAAATCTGGCAAATCCTAACTTGATCTACCAACTCCTTGTCGCAATCAGTTACCGAAGGAGATTTGTTCTTATTTGACCCACATCTATATCGATTCGCCCAACTCGTCATAATTTTCTCCAATTTGCTCTTCGTTTTACTTTCTCTTCCTGAACCCGATCTGATGCGTCGCATCTAAAATGGAGCAATTATGTAAGTAATTTAAATCACTCACTAAATTAATAATCCAGCAAGAATTATTCATAGTATCTACATACCGTTTCATAATTTCGTAAGAGAAAACATCGGTGATCCTTTGTTGAAAAAAATAATATGTAAACATTTGGATTGTTAGTGTGAAATTATTAACAGCTGCAATAATTATAAATTCTGTTTGTAAAATATTGTGACAAAGTTGAACTTACCCGAACATACATCTTTTCTCTCCTTAACAGAGGTTTCATTTTACTTGGATCAATTTGAGACAGATTTATAGCGTTGAGAATATTCCACCTTTTCTCGGCGGATTTCTTGTGGACCGCTTTTGAAGCATCATGTCTGCCAGGCTTGGACTTGACGCCAATTATTCCTCGGCAATCAACGCTACCGCAATGACATGGCTAGGAGAGATAATTACAGTAGTATTAGTATTAACAACATAACGATGTATTTAATTCCGTAAAATAGTAGTTGGAAAGCATATAAAATTACTCACCTGTCCCTCTGAAGGATTGAAAAGGGAGAAATTATAGTCATAGGAGAGTTCCTCTCCAGGATGAATGTCTCGGTGAGCAAAAAGCGCCATCCTTGACAGACCATTGACAGACCATTTTTGCATCTCACAGTTTGGAGAACAAGAATGATTTACAAAACGACCTTCACCACCTGCCCGATGACCGTCAATCACCAACCCCCCGTCAAGATGTAAGCAGTAATGATGTGTGTCATTAATGTATATTGTGTGCATCCTTTCTTTGAACACTGCTTCCGATACGACTTCTCCAACATATTCAAGAATGAACTCGCCCTTGCGGATTTCCTCCTTCGTTTTCACTCCATATCCTTTCTCGTGAGTTAGAAATCTTTTAATCCCATGAGCCCAGTCATGTTTTTGTATTCGTCTGTTCAAACAATTATCACCGCACGCAGGTGGACATTCTGTATACATTAACCGATTTAAGCAGTCTTCTGTCCCACATTTTACATCCCCATCAGGACAGGTGCATAGTTGATCCACTTCTGCTTCTGACTGAGGTTTATTCACTCCATAATATGCATCTGCAAAAAGTCACGTGAGGTTCATTAAAAATGATTCCAAGTTTAATAATATGGCAACGAAATGACAAAATGAATAATTAATAAACTTGCTTTGTCGAATCTTTTTAAACGTCCAGGATGGCGGAAGTTCAGTCGGCATTTTAGCTTTCTTTGGCTTAGCATCACTTCCAACAACAACCTGTGGTTTTCGCTTCGTGACAGCAAGGGCAGCTGCAGCTGCTTCTGTTTCGATCTGTAATTTTGCCTTCCATTCTTCATGCTTCCTATTTGCGTTAATAACCCCCAAGCACCACATATCGTACGGAAGTAGATAATCAATTCTGGTGGTCCGTGCGACATTTCCTGATTCAGCATCACGAGGCGGAGGAAAAATAGTCTCTTGTTGAGTTGGTCGCTCCAAAGTAGAGTCCAAAACTTTAAAGTAATTTGACAGTAGTCCAGCCGGCAAGTAGTTGGTTTTCACGGGCACAATGATTGGAGGGTCTGATATATTAAGCAAAGCTGGAGAAACTCCAGGCACAATATTTGGAGATTTCTCGGTAACGGGACTTTCAAGAGACAGACGCCTTCTAGTCTTAACTCGTTCTGTCAACGTGGGAGTAAAGTCGGTAGGTAGGATTACAGACCGTGATGAAGAAGTTACATTTGACAGTCTTTTAATTTTGTCCAACGGTTGTTTCTTCATTTTATTCTTTGTTGTTGGAGTATTGTCTCCGATGACGAGAGGTGGGGACGGTTCCTCCTGTTTTATTTTAAGCGACGGAATCACCGGGTCATCCATCCCATTTGAATTGTGAAATTGGTGCAAATATATTGAGGACCTCTTTTTCTTTCGTACACTAGGAAACCCAGTTCGGTTGACCTTTCTCCGTTTTTTGGGACCTTGTTGTGTTTGGTTTGTTAAGGGTGATGAGGTAGGAGAGATTTTAGACACTCGGGCAATAGATGCGATGTCGTCCAATAATTGCAAAGCATCCGTAGCATTTTTCTGCTCCTTAATTATGTTTGCTGACTTGTTATTCTTAGACGAAGAAATAATCTTCTGCTTTTTGACAATTACGGCGGCGAGATCTCCAATATCAGGGCTTTGTTCTCGCTCTCGTTTTACCCGGACCGGTGACAACCGTGGTGATGATGGGGTAACCTTTTCTGTCCGTGTACTAATACTAGTAGTGGGTTCTTCATTATTACTTGCAGCAACAGAAATGGTCTGGAATTGTACAATTTTCTTTTTTGGCGATCGACCAGAGGGAGAAGACACAAGGAAGGAGCTCGTGACCTGTTTGGAATTATCAGATAAAACTGTTGACTCAATGTCCAATTTTTTTGGCTTCCTCATACGAACTGAGCGCCGGCTTGCTTCCGTGATATCTGGAGATAAGTTGAGTTGAGGCTTCGTTCTGTTGCCTGCTGCCTGCTCCCAACTTACTTTATCCTTATTCTCTCCTAGTTTTTGAAAGGTTTCGTTCATCTTCTTAGGGGAGCAGGTGGAGGTTGTAAGAAATCCAGTCCCGCAAATCATGCCTTTTTCTCCAAAACTGTGACGCACAGGTTTGATTCCTTGACTCATGGAAGGTGTGGCGTTATGATGACGCTTTTTAAGAGGAAGATGGCTGGAAGTTTCGCTCTTATCAGATGTATTTCTTTTGTGGTTACTGGATTGTAAAATTTCAGGATGGGCTGCTTTCCTTTGTTTTCGTCCTGACGCAGTAGTTGCAGGTAGCTGTTGTTGAATTCTTACAGGCTTTCCTGATCTTGCCGGACCAAATAATGCAGTATTGTTCGTCATTTTAAAAATTGTTTTTTTGAACGTGGCTGGTCGGGTGGGCTTTGGGCCCTTTCTGGATGATTTGGAGCCGATTCTGATAGCCAATAGCTTTTCACAAAAGCTTATTATTTCCGGCTGCAAGAGTCCCAACCGCTTCTTTCTCTTCTTTTTTTCCTTAGTTTGTTGTTTCTTTGATTTTTTCTTAATCGTCTTGACCAGCACAGGCGGCGTTATTTTGTCATCATTTTTTAGTAATAACTTTTTGCTTGTTTTGTTACTTTTACTCTGAGAAGGAGCAGACATGACTAGTTCAGATTCTTCTGGGATATATTTTTTTGCAGCTTTAGTCTTGACAGGCATCGCTGATGGAACGGCGGCGTAAAATTCACTAACAACACCGTTGGTATTATTATTATTCGCCGCAGTGGTGCTGGCCTTTTTTCTTCCTTTGAGTCCATTCATTGGTGGCATTTTTACTTCCCCGTTATATGACGAATGTAAAACTTTGGCAGCGGATGAGGAATGACGACCAGCTACTTCATATGCAGAGGATTGGAAGGTTTTGTTTACATCACCATTGAATTTTGCCTTATTCTTCGGACTAAGTGAGGTCACAAGGCAAGTCAATTTAGTCTTTTTCGGTTTTGCTGTAATATCTGCGAGTTTAGCAATATTATGGTTAATGTTGGGGTGTTGGTGATTGTGTTGCTTTTCATCTACAATACCAGACTTGGAAGAAGGGACTGTTGATTTAGTTCTATTTGACATACGTTTTTTTGGAGTACAATGTTGCATCTTGGGTGCATTAGTGGGAGTTGTCATCATAACTTGTTGAACCACTTTTTCTCGATGCGCAATTTGTCTTGAAATAAGAGGAGGAGGAGGAGATGAAGAAGCAGAAGGCAAAACGACAGCTGCAGTAGACTTATTAGACTTTTCTAATGTGGAGTCTAAAGGTCCGCTGATTCTCTTAACCGAAAGGTCACCAACCGTTGGCGACACAGACGATTTCAATACTTCAAGCAGTGAATTATGCGAGTTTTTCTTAGATCTACAGTTTAAATAAGATTTCTCTGGTGGATCCATTTCCATTGAATCGATAGTATGAATTGCCTTCATCACTGCATCATTGGTATCTGTGTTATTTTCCCAACCATCAAAGTCGTCAGATTGCTCTGTGGATCTTCGCTGAGCTGATAGTCGTTTCGAAGACCTAACTGACGACGTGGTGGAAGAGATGTTTTGAGCAGAGCCCTGGGTTGTCATAATCGAATAATCTGGAGTGCCGTTGCTCGTTTTTGTACATAGTGAAGACATTGACTGTTGGGCGGACTGAGGATTTATTGGGAAAATAGACAAATCAGCATTTCTGTGAAGGGATAGTACACGGAGTACAGGATCCATTTGCTGATCACCAGGAGATCCAGCGTTGAAAAGAGTCGGCGAATATGACCCGACGGCAGATGGACATTGATACCTCTCCCTTTCTCTCGCAGGAATACTACTACTACCACCACTGTTGCTGCTGCTAAACGTCGTTACAGTCACATTGTTGTTGTTTAAATTCGGTATCACAGGTGTTGACGGGGTTAAATTTGAACACAAAACACTAGTAGATGTACGAGGAGACAAACTACTTGGACTTGTTCGACTTGTCCCTGAATTTCTCATACCAGAAGAACTGGAACTGCTTGGAACTACTGCAGATCGTTGCAATTTCGCAATTTCACGATCCGGAGCCACTGATGAATCACACGGTTTGCCAACAATCTGTTCAGATGCCTGTTGATTGATGGTATGTCTGGAACTAATTGATGGTGAATTTTCTCTTGAGGATGAACTATTTGTATCCAATTTTTGTCGACGATCAGGAACGCGTAATGCCGCAATTTTCAGTTTTAGACTTCCAGGCTCATAATTAACAGAAAAGGACTTTTTACTCTTTCTGGTTCTACTACTTGTACTTGAACTACTCTCAGAATGGTCCTTGTATTTGTGATCTTTGGTTGGCACCAGTGGCAAGGGCTTATTGGATAAAGTGACGTTAGTGTTTCCTCTTTTTTGAGAAAGAGATACCCCACGCGTTGAAGTTGACGTACAGGAAGAGGACTGATTGCTTTCAGAATCTGAATCACAGGAAGATGAGTTGGAGCTGCAAGAAGAATTAGATGAGGAAGATCCTGAACTGCTGCTAGAATCCGAATCCTATTGGATTTTTTATAGAAATTAGGTAATCTTCATACACGCACATAGTCTTTATTCAAATCTATTGTATATTCAAAGTGTGTACTCTACTCACCGAGTTGTCACCAGAAGTAGAGTCTGGAGAGTCTTCTTGAGATTCTTCGGAATTGCATGTAATATCTAAACGATTGGGAACCCCATTATTATCCTTTTTGGGGACCTCGGAAACTTTCACCCTTGCTCTGGGCATACATGATGTACTCCGCCATGTTCGCATCATTAATTGGTCATTTATTGGTTCCTAGAGAAAATAGAAAATGGTCGTACACTCATAGTTAAAATCGAAAAATGTAAATTGAGGACAACTGTGAAAAGTCAAAGTGTAGAGAGAAAACCTACTCTACACGATAGTTAGTAATAATCATTTAAATAAAATTAATAATTGTAGTGATGATTATGATTGACTAACAATCAAGGCGGCAATGTCAACGGTGGAAGGGAGGTCATCAGAGCTGCTGTCATCGTCCACGTCGACGGCTGGGAGGACGGGGACCGCTTCTGGAAGGAGGAGGGCTCGTGGGTCGTTCTCAGTCCTCAAAAGGGAATCCATCTGTCAACTTGTTCACCCTTTTACATATGTTTTGAAGATGCCACACTGGTCGAGATTTAGTAATTGTGTCCACGCACACCACAAGTTCTGTTAAAAATCAAACCAAACCAAACATTATTGTATTAAATTAATAACCACAGGAATATCAATAGCACTTACTAGCAATTAGCTATTAGAATCGCTGTTTTAGAAATTTATAAAATACCATTTACTAGATTAAACTCTTAGCAGTCAACGGAAAACTCTGGTATCACGATTACTTGACATTTAATATCTATCGGCTGTATGGGAAATACTTCCACTACGCATTCGTGATACAGTCCTTAAATACTAAATGTCAAGAAATCGTGGTTTTGTACACTTACATTTTAGGTGAAGTGTTTTTAACTTGGTTTTCTTATCAATCAGCCATTCTTTCTATTTCTGGGTCCATTCGGTTGGTTTTACATGTATAATTTATATTACAAGTCCAAATCAGTCTGTCAGATCACGGTTATTCCAAATAATTCCAATAATAATTTCACGGCATATTTAATATTTAACAACACCTCCACTCAACCGACCAATAACTATTTTTAAAATATTAGAAATATTTAAGTATGAAATTAAGAAATAGTTGATAGTGAACCAGCTTATTTTAGTTTATTGTTCTGTCTCTGAATCATCTCGTCGACGAAGACCAATGGAACATGAACGTCACCAGAAATCAAACTAATAAGGAAAATCTATTCGAAACTGAGAGTCACACATCAGCACAAGCAAGCAGAACACAGAAGAAGCAATTGATTTAGTTGTTGGTGGCCATTCTCTCAAAGTTCCCTCGTTCCTAGTCCACTGTATTTCTGGCTGGTTCCTCAAGGGGCCCAAAGTTCCCTCTCCTAAGGAAAGTCATTGTTGCTCAGTCCTTGTGTTTGTTGTGGGCATGGGAAAAAGGGATCTTGTTTCACCGTGGCTCGAGCCAAAATTCTCCACCACAAGCAGTAGCAGCAGCAAAGGCTACTTACTACAGTACGGCTCTAAAATACACACCGTGGTGCAGCATAGAGCGATGGACTGGACTGTCAGCTTGTTATATTACTTGGGAGAGGGAAGCTTGTGTCGCACCAAATGGGGCAGTTGTGGAAATCTCAAATTACATCGTTGTACTGTACATTGTAGTAATTCATCAATTAACAAGCACCGTAATTATGTCATCGTAACATTAATGTTAACAGCAAAAATGGCGTTGGATGAATATAAATTGTATGACAAATATTCCAAAGTGTTACGAAATTGCACTATGCTATACTACACGGGAGAAAGTGAATTCCATTAATTAGATGAATTGCATGACCCCACATTTCCCCCTGGAACTGCTTCTTAAAGATGGGATATAGGATAATCTATGATGTTCAAATTATACTTGCTAAAAATTATGCCCATTAAAAGTTTACTGAGAAAATTTGAAACTTTTATTTCGATTAATATTGAAGGCATTTCATGATGATGACGATGACCCCGGCTTGGATTTGATCCATCCAGCCACCGTAGCCAAAGATGGTTCTAGCCCTTCTGGCTCGTCTCCATTGTTGTGAATGACAAGGTCCCAGTCCGTAACATCATCGAGGTCACACTCAGATGGTCCATCGTCCACTCCCTCCGTGTAATTCCACCCGCGTCCAACCCTGACTTCCTGATCTGCTGTGATCCTTACTCGCTTGATGCGGTCAGCGTAGTTCTCCAAGAACCAAAAGTAATCTCGTTTGTGACGGATGTCGACGCAAATCCAGATAGGTTTTCCAATACCTGCAAATTTTGAATTTGATGACATGAAATAAATTAAAAGTCAATAACGTGGCTACTGGAAATTACCGTCTGCCATGTGAATCGCTGTGACGTTAAAATATCCTTTATTTTTCGACCTCACCTCAATGCTCCATTCTACCATTTTCAACCGATGATGCTCTTTGTAGGCACTTGTGCCCAACAATTTGTTAAAATCTAACTGATGTTTTTGGGCCCAGTAATATTTTATGGGTTCGGCTATTCTCATCACAGCAACGTCCTTTTGATCCAATCTACAAAAGAAAATTGAATTTCAATTCCGTTCTGTAAATGGCTTGTATTTTTTTTAATACGCACATAGATGTTCTATGTATGATAAATGACCACTCGAAATCTCAATAATTTGGCCGATTCTTTGTTACCGTTTTAGAAGTAGTTCTGTGAAATGGTCTTTGCCACACTTTCTTTTCCCACTGACCAGTAGTAATATTTCAGGTTTAAAGTCAGGAGGTGTATAATCTCGGTCTTCAGGGTCTTCCATTCTTCCGGCAAAACTCATAATTTACGTAATTTCTGATATGAATAGCACAATTTTTTTTAATGTTGTGTCTGTTTTCGGTTTGTTAAAAATGTAGTTTAGTTTAACCCTAATACAGACTGAACTGAAGGAACTCTATGAAATATACTTCTGTATAGTACAAATTGTACTGTACAATACACATGTGAACTTTCCGGTATTTCGCAATTATTAAGCAATACAAAATATTGCGACACCATACGAGTAGATCAAACAGTTTTCATGCTACCTGGTATGAAAACGCTGTGTGGCGTGGGATAAAAACCTAGAAATCGTTAGATCAAATCAGATTGGCTGTTATGTTAACCTTATAAAAACTAATTAATTTTGACCTGGATACCATTTAAAAACGGAATTAAAAATGGTTTCTATTGCATTTGGGGGCGGATTTACTGGGGGGCAGAATACCATTGAGACCGACTTGTGGGGCGGTGATAAAATCAGTTGGGGACTGAATTAATGCAAACCGATTTTGAATATTCTACTGATGCAGTTATGATTTATTAGAGACCTGGAACTGATTCGACAACAAAAATTAGAACATAATACATTTTTAACATGAAATTGCAACTGAACCAAATGAACACACGATATTAATTTTGATAAAAAGATCGGATTTGATTTTGATAGTACTACAAAAATAAACTAAACGAATAAATCGTCATCATTCATGTCATCAATTTGATGACACTGATTTTGGGATGCATTTTATATTTTAAACAAGTTATTAGCTATAATTTTGTCCTTCAGTGTTCTGTGACTTGTTCCGATCGGTGGTGACACTATTGCGAATATATTAGCTAAAGAGAACGTTGTGATAATTTAAAAAAAATATGAACTGTATCATATTTACAAAATGATACAGGTCAGAGGTCAACGCCGACCAATTTATTAGCAGCGCCAATGTTGGATAATTTTTCGGGGGCGCGGCGTGACCTCTGATGCACTTCCTCCGAGTTCCTCCCCCCACTACAACTACAACTCTAAACTCTAAAAAAATTAGTTCAGGCTTGAAGAAAAACCAACGACAAATAAGGAGGAAAGAATGGAACTGAGAAAATTTTCTCGGTCATTTTATTTTTATTTTTTCCTACACCTTATTGATGTAGCCCGGTCTCAACGGAATTCTGTAACCATACACCTTATTGGTGGAATCCGTCGCCAACGAGAAAAAGTTGCCCTACACCTTATTGGTGTAGTCCGTCGCCAAGAGATCGAAATCGCCCTCCACCTTATTGGTGGAATCCGTTTTTAAAAGGTTAAGGTGTATATGTAATATTCCAGCACTTTGTTACTGTGGTGTAGATAACACGAAAGTTGCTAACTATGTAAGCTGCTGTATAAAAGCACTTTACAAATCACAAACAGCAGTGCACTGCTAATACGAGATAATTTATCTGTATGTATATACAAATATTGTATGTCAAGTTGAGCAAGATTTATTTTTTGTCATCCAAATGACAAAAAATCGCAGTGAGTTTACACCATGCAAAAATTTTTATGATGATTTCAGAATTTCCAGATGCATTTTTTTAAAAGTGAAACTGACAAATCTTAGGTGCATATGAATTTCTTTCCCTCATAAAACGTTGGAAGACTTCGGAATTACTCGGATTACACATTTAACATCCAATGCAAATTCCATATTTAGTTATACTGGGCACGCTCTGTAGTTTGGAAATGATTGTGCATTCTGCACTTCACGGGGGCATAAAATATAAATTATATCATTTATTCGAATAACATTTGTTCATTCAAGAATTACTCATGCATGCAGTAAAAATAAGCCATGTCAAACAGGCTATGTTGTAAAACTGGACTCCAAATTTTTAAATTTTTTATCCTGCTCAGCTTTCACAGTTGACGAAACATTTTTTAATGCTCTGGCCACATCTTGCGAGTCAATAATTAGTTTCCCTAACAGAAGAATACGACATTATGAAATTAAACTGTCAAAATTTTCAGGTATACTTACTTAATTTACTCTTGTCTTGAAATGTTTCGCGAAATTTTAAGACGACCGCTTCCTTTACGACATGCTGCAGATCCGACCCGGAATAGCCGACCGTTGCCTGCGTTTGATTAGCAGATATAATTTGCCGATTTCTTTAAAATATCTTTTTTTACACATATAACTTTTGAATACAAATATGCTTAAGAACCACGGAACATGCATCTGATGATGTACATACATTTGCAACTGCTTCAAAGTCGAGATTGCAGACAATGGAATTTTTCCCCTTACTATTTCGGGCAACCCCTTGAGCCGTTTTGGCAAAATGATGTTTCAAAATTCCAGCCCTTTCCTGCGTGTTAGGAACAGGGATGTACACTCTTTTTTCCAATCGACGAACCACAGCAGGGTCCAACTCCCTGAAAATTGAAGTTTCAAAAAATTTGACTCATAAATATGTACAATTACAGTCCATTTATTTACCATACGACCCTCGACGTCACCACTGCAATGCTATTGGTAATGAGAGCGATGACGTCGAGGATCGTATGGTAAATAAAACAAGAGTATGTGTGCATATTAGTGTGACTATATAGTTTCGTAAATTATTATCAACGAACCAAGGCAGGTTCGTAGCAGCCAGAATGAACACTGGAGGCTGAGATTCACAATTTGTCAGTAGCCCATCCATTTGTTGTAAGAGTTCGCTTTTGAGGCGTCGAGACGCATCAGATTCACTGGACGTGTCACGATTGGAGGCTAGAGCATCAAACTCGTCAAAAAATATGGTGGAAGGTGCGTGATATCGAGCCAAGTCGAATAAAACCTTTTACAAAGTAATGAAAATGATTGGGGACTTGACATTTTGAATGGCTTTATTTGATGATCACCTTCATCATCTTTTCCGAATCACCTCTCCATTTGCTGACCAAACAAGCGGTAGAAATGTTAAAAAATGTTGTTCCACATTCCGAAGCAACTGCTCTTGCTAACATTGTCTTTCCTGTTTAGAAAAAAAACATTGTAACATCAGTCAAGAGTGAAAGTGTTTTGCAACAACCTGTTCCCACTGGTCCGTAAAGCAGTAGCCCTTTCCAAGGTGGAAGTGCATCACCAAAGAATTCTGTAAATTCATTTCGGTAAACCATCGACTCCATTAAAATCATTTTCGCGTTTTCAAGTCCAATGATGTCATCCCACTTGGTCTCCAAATCTTGTACAACAATTTCCTGTGTACAAACACATTATGAAATACATTTTAGTTTTTATCCATCAATATAAATATGCACACATAAATATGACACTAATTGTAGTATTAACATACTCGTTGAATAATGTCTGCGAAATATCGCATTTCATCATTTCCAAACTCTAGGCCTGAAATGGGCTTGAGTAGTTTCTCATTGTTACAACAACGGGGATTGACATTGTTCGAAATATTCAATTCTAGGGGTTCAGACGAGTTGGCCGATAATAAATCTCCATCAGCCATTGGCCCACCTCGCCGCAATCGACTGGATCCAGTATTATTACGACCACCATTTTTTTTGGACAACTTCATGAGTAAACTTTCACCCACAGTTGCTCCTCCTGCCGATATCTTCCTAACATCGTGCAGATCATTGTTAATTTATCAATTAAATGTTATATTAAAAATGTTATGCTGGCTCATCACTTAAAGTATTGGGGGTAACGCTGAAATCGCATGTTGTAGTATGCTTCAAAATCAATGAAAATCGAGTTCAAGTCAATATTTTCACAAATTGTGTACTGATCCAAGCTGAGTGAAAATTCTGATGCGAGTGAAGCTGCAGTGTCAACATATCTGTAAGATTTGTGTAGCTATTTATAACAATTAAAAGTGTTAATTTAAGACTACAGGAAAAGATATTCCTCGTTTTGGTAATTGGCAGTAATTACCCCTTGTCCAGAAGTAGTTGGAAAGTGAACAGCAACATTGCTTTCTCTCGATTGTCAACGCGCTTTTCTTCCTATACGAATTTACAGAAGGAAACATGCAATCAGATACCTCATATAAGTTACATGATCATTTTGTAATTGCAGTACCGTGTCTTTTGCAATTGACATTGCTCGAATATTTGCCAGGCCATGGGTTGTCATTCCAACTCTGACTTTCACTTTGTCAGTATTTACGGTTCGTCGTATTTACGGCCTTGGCCAGATTAACGTTTTTTAATACTGTGGAGTTATAACTAATTATAATTCTAATATTTACTAGTAGATGAAGATGAGATATATAGCCTGAAAAAGTTGCCATGAGAAACATTTCTACATGGAGATATAAAGAGAAAGTGAGAAAGTGAGTTCTTTCTCCATATATCGACAAAACAATGCACAGGATTTATTCAATGGAGTATAAAAATGTATTCGCAGAGAAAAATTTATCTATTTATATGTATGTATGAATGATGCAGTATGAATAAGAAACGGTATCGCATTTGTTATTAGCACCACTAATATTTATTATTTGCAATTGTACATACATGTAACAAGGATACGCCAAGATAAGTGTGTAATAAATTGTCCTTTGCAAAATCTGCCTCGCGTTCTGCATGCTATAGTTATGTACATAAGTATGTATTACTTACTACAGATAAATTTTTTGGTTTTATGGAGGAAGAGTTGGTTGTCTGTTTGTTTTTAATTATAGCTCAATTTTAATAATATTTTGTCATCTCATCGTGAGTACCATTCATTCATGAGTTGTTAATTCATAGCACGTATTTACGAAGTACATGTCTAGCACATGCATAAATAGTTGATCATTTGTTCGAATTCTTTTTGTTGAACCACAAGGTGGAGAATCGACTGCCCTTCCCATCCCTCGGCTCCCTCTGAGACTGAGAGACGGACATTGACTTTGATCGACCCAACTTGGAGTTCCCCTTCTTCTTCAGGAGGGCTTCATCCGGCGTTTGTCGCAAAAGTGACTCCACGGAGGAAGACGACACGGGTTGTTTACGTTCCCCCCTGTCACCACCTCTGCCCAAAGGGAGCGGAGGCTTTGGTCTGCTGCTGAACGACTTTGACGGACTGCGACTGGATTTTTCAATCGAACTTGTCGGCGTTTGCCTCACAGAGTTAATCCCAAGGCTGCCACTTGGACTAGAAAAACATTTAGACGAGTGAATTAATTAATTAAAGATCAATAACTTCATACATACAATTTATGTCATAAACTCCGGGACAATAATTTTATTGTCTCGGAATTTATATTACATTCGCGCCTGTGAAATTTATGTATAATATCCAATACTGCGAATACATACCTTCTGGAGGGAGGGCGTGGTGGGAGAAGGGTGTTGCTGCGACTGTAGTCAATCTCGTTGTGAATGAACCGAGGTCCCCAAGGGTGGGCCATTGACATTGAACGGGACAGTTGCTTTGCTTCCTTTCTGGATCCAGACTGTAAAAATGTACACAGAATACTTCTTATTGCATGTCTGTCAAGTACCTTATATCATTTCACCTCGAGATTATTGAATTTCTAGAATTTTATTCTCTCACATTGAAGTAAAAATTAGACAATACGTGTGACTACGTTTTAGTACATGCTCAAATATGCATAGCAATATTCTCATTCCATTGTCAACCTTGCTTTCGTATAGTCTCATCACTACGATTTTGGCATTTCCTAATATTTGCATATTATTGACATCTCCTTAATTTCAAGAGTCTGACAGAGAGCATCAATTAAAGGACACATGTCCAAATTGTCAAGCACTCGACATTTTCATACATTCTGATTGGTCTAATAAGTGACGAAATCGTAGCACAGGCCACTTGAACAGAAATACGTTAAGAAATAAGGCTCACATAATTGGAGATCTCGTCCTTGGATAAAGTTCTCCTCCCACTCAGTCCACTGAGGCTGGCCCCACCACCACCGCTGTTGGCGAGCGTTCGTGGCAATGGCATCTCAGGGATGACGGCTGGCTCGTGGAGGTACACTGAGCGAGACGTGTTGTTACTTTCACTTCCTGAACTGTTGGGCTGTCCTACAAATCCGCCGCCCACGTAGCCTGAAGTAGATAAGAAAATTATATTCGATTGCCTCCACTGCTTTATACAGCATGTTTCCCAACCACGTTCTCCCTCCAATTATGCAGTGCTTGGGAAATTAGGAAACCAGAAAATAAACAAACATGGACTGTGGACGATGATAACGTGAGGGGAATAACTTAGATATGCGACAACTCCTCCAACTTGCAAGTGAAAATTATCCCGAATTAAAGATTATTTGGATCATTACAAACTTATTTCATGCAAAAAAGCTATTTTGTGATACCTTTAGACAGTTTTTCTCGTTTGGGCATGGTGCTATTGGCGTATCCATCATACTCGTCATATTTTTGCGGACTGTAGCTGATTTTTTCTGGAGAGTATCGAGTATCCAGCGTCGTGTACTTTCCACTTGTATTGGACGATATTGCTCCAGGGACCTTCAGAAAACGGTCGTCTTCTGCGATGTTGCTGTTATTATTTCGCTTCAACAACGTGGGATCATAACTCCCTTCTCGTTCCTGGGCGAAATTTCTTCTGCGATCTATTGAACTGCTGTTGTTTATTGCAGAGGTGGAGGTGTAGCCATGTTTCCGTCCAAGGGTGCGGCTGGTCAAGTCCTCTTCTTCTCTAATGATGCTGCTTGGCTTAGAAGGCTCTCGCATTGTCCATCGTCTCTTGACCTGATGGAAAAACACGCACCAAAGATGATTAGTTGCTACACTGTCCATTTAATGGCAAATGAATGGCTCATCGGTATTAGTGAGAACGTCGTATGCAGTTGTAAACTGAAATATTCGCCGCACACGCACCTTGGTCATGTCATTGCCGTACGACTTTTTCCAAATATCGCTTCCGTGCGCAGAGGTGTCCTCAGTGTCAATGTTACTCTCTCCATAATAGGGCTTGAAAGTGGGAGGAGGGGGATCCGAGTAATCAATCACTGACAACGAAGGAGGATCCGATGGCCAGTTTCCAAAAGACTGGAAATCACACAATTTCTACCATCACATTTTTCGCATGATTTTTTTAGATTTTCATTTGAGTTTATTATCTGAATGATCGTTATGTGAGGATATTATATGCACATGCATACAAGCCTTTATTATATGCACCTGTTTACACGCATTTACATAAGTAAATAATAAATCTGCTTTGTGATGATGATTATTATCTATTCATCAATTCCTTTTCAATTACTTTTTATTTTCATTGATACTTCAAACAGTTAAAATGAACCTGTATAATTGTGCTAATCATGCATTTTAGATTGCTTTTCAAATCAATGCAAGATGAGCTAACTGGCCAAGGAGCATGCATTAAAGTGAATGAAATATTTAAATATGGTGAATATTATCGGAATTTAATAGATTGAGTTTCATTACACTTCGACTTCAAAAAGGAGCCATGATTCCTTATATGCCCACACATGTCATTAATATGGGTGGACTCTGTAAGCAAGCACTTTTAAAGAGAGAGAGATTGGTCAAGGTGCTCCATTGCTACAATATCGCATAAAATATTCGCAATTGTTCTTCTCGTCCAGCCCACTTTATGCCCCAATGTTGAAATGATCAAGAATATACTAATCATAAAGTTATGCATGTGGCATTTTTTGTGATTTTTAAACCGCCTGTGCATCTCATTAATTTGCTTATCTCAATGGGTTCTAATTTCAACAAAACTGTTGAAAAACCATGCATATTAAACTGTCGATTAAAACCAGATTATATGTATCAGGGCACACATAGCATAAACCAAAAAAGTAACTAGATCAATTTAAGCCCACACCAAATTCGAACCGACTTTGCTACATGACCTATCATCATAAAATTTGTCTGACACCCGACAACTTTTAACCAACCAACAACCACATGAAAGCCAGTTTTGTACTGATGCACCATAATCTACAACGTATGAGCATATTTATGTATGCATGATCCTGCATGAGACGAAAATGGACATAAAATGGTTTAAATGGATTAAGCCTCACTTTCAAATTTAAATGTCGATGGATGCAAAGCCAACGTAATTCAAATCTGCTAAAAGATATTTATTGGTATCGTTTATATTAGAGCCCAGATTCTCATGTCCGAGACATTGATACGGCCTTTGGGAATGAGCACAGGTTTTGGGGGTGGTACATCTTGCTGAAACAGAGATAATCAAATGCGTAGGATTTAAATACCTGATACGTATTCGGCTGTGGAACTCCCTGCGATTGACCTTTCTTCAAATCTGCATTCTGCAAGTTTTGTTGTTTTTTATTTCGCTTCTTTTCCAAAAACGACGTAAAGAAATTAGAATGTTGACCAGATTTCTTTTCAAGTGGTTTCGTGGTCGTCTTGTTATGACTATTAATATTTGTATTAGCAGATGAAATGTTCAAGTTGGACGTCGACTTTGATTGAGTAGTATTTTTTGCCTCTGCTTTCTTATTGTTTCTCCTTAAAAGTGTGGAGAAAATGTTGCTTGACCCACTCGACTTGTCTTTAAATTTGCCTGCGGTAGTTGTGTTATTGGACGAATATATTTTTGAATTTTGGGCGTTGTTCCGACTATTTTCTAAATCGTAAGATGTGGTCAGGTCTGAATACGGGTCAAACACATCACCACGCTCTCGTCGATTCTGTTCCTTCAGCATCAATGACCTTTCCCTTAAACTCGAAATGCGGTTATCCAAGGTTTTGCTACGATTTATGAAATCTTCTGTCCGATTTCGGGAAGCAATGAAACTGCTATCACGCTCCAACGTTTTGGACTTTCTGTCCGCAAACTTGTGTGACGTTCTTGTGTCGTACTCATCTTCCTCGTCAATTCTGTAACTAGCTCTTGCTTTGTTGTAGCCATAACCATCAATGACGTTTGTGCTAGCGCTTTTTCCGCCATAATTGATGGGCTGGTACGAATAAAAGTCGTCAGAGTTATCCGTGTCCCTGCCCCCACCTCCGTACGAGGATGAGAGGAAACCAGGGGAGCGTTTCAGCTTATTGTCCCCCATCTCGTACTTTCCTCTGAATTTGTAGTCGTTGTAGTCATCCTCGTCACTCTGCCTATTGAGGTAATCGGAGGAGTGTCTTTGGTAATGGTTTTCATATCTGGACCTGTTCCTATTATTTGTGTGACCATTTTGCAGATGCTGTTTCACAATCCCAGGGGATTTTGGGTAATAATCGTCATTGCTGGCGAGGAGGGGAGAACTGCTGCTCCGATATCGGGAGTCGTGACTAAAGCCTCCAATTCTTTCCTCCATGTTGAGCGAGCTTGGTAAGTCATCGCTGCTGCTGTTGAGCAGAACCGTGGTCACATTTTTCCCCATGACCTGAGACGCCCTGACGGCGGTGTTGGTGCGTGGCGATGCGTGCGGTTTTGTCTGGTTGAATAATGAAGTACGAGTTGTATTGCTACTGGTCGTATTGGTGGGTTGGGTTGTGTTTGGGTTGTTGTAATTATTATTGTTATACGAACGGTGAACAGTTCTTTTATTTCTCTGCTTATTTTTTCGGTCTTCGGGATCAACTACTACCTGTGCGTAAATCACTTCTCTTCCAGTCTTATTGACACCATTTGTGTGATGATGATTGGGTAAAGTCCTAGTGGTAGAGGTTGATGGGTGACTTGATTTTGGATAAGCACTGATATTCACAGCACTTGCACCAGCACTGGTCTTTTGTGATGTTGGACTTCGTAGGTACGTGAAAGGCTCGTTGTTGTTGTGGGTGAGGACAGAGTTGTCCTTCAGCACTCGAGAGGTACTTAGTCGTTTAATCCTCTCGGAGAGACTGAGCACTTTTTTCTCATCTTCCCCGTCCGTTGCGTCTCTTTCGACGGATGGTCTGAGACGAGTGATATGGCTGCTGCTGGGTCGATGGGGTCTTCGAGGGGCTGAGTAATTGTTGGCACTGTCGTCTTGATGGCGATTATTGTACAAATTGGTTGTGTTCACTTTGTATTTTCCAGTGGAAGTCATATTCATTCTTGGCATGCACATGAACAAATATTAGAATGGGTGTGTGGGTGGTGGTGGAGGAGGTTAGTCAAGTGCAATCTTTCAATCACATATTACAATGCATGCATCATAATATGCAAATCCAACAAGATGATATTGTTCCGTGTGGTAAGAAACGACGATGTGTTGAGAAGTATCCAAAAGACAATTTTTTGCGTATTAGAAAATCACTTGTCATACAGCAACCACATTCGCAAGTGAAAACACTGCACTGAATACGGTAGAATTTCAAGTATACACATATACAAAGTTCAATAATTTCGAAATCTAAAACCCATGTATACATGTGCTGTAAGACATTCTGGATGACACCAAATTTTTCGTGCACGAGAAAAGTGATGATAAGCTAAGATAAATCCGAGTTACTTTTTTTGTGGACAACTTTTTTTGGTCAAATTGAAAATGTCAACGTCATGTTCTTCTTGTCTACTGATGGAACTCAACTGAAGGAAAAAGTGATCCGTTAACTAAATGAAAGTCACAATATTAACAACGTGCTTCGTATTAAAATGGCTATGACGATGACGATGATGATGATGATTATGATCGATGAAAATAAATTATAGTCTTCTCTCTTCAAATCTTGACCACAAGCAAGTGCAATAATCCTGCGATGTGGGCAAGCACATCACTGCTTGTATATGTAGATTACTGGTTAATAATTGTACTCTTGTTTAGTGCTGGGTAACTCTTAACTCGTCTTTTGGACTTTTTGCAAATTTCGATTAACAAATTCAGCCAAGACAAGACCATTGAGTGTGCTAGGTTGGATCTCAGGTTAGTCACGAACCGTCCAGATTATTAACATATGCGCTTGTCAAGCTGATATGGCACGGTAAATGGGCAGATAATAATAATGATGAGAAAAGTTGGACGAGACAATATGTACGGCACACAACAATATATAATGAAATGAATTTAAAAGGATTTCATAGCGTTTTGACACAGCCAAGAACAGCACCATCACACCATACGTATGCATACGCTCTTCTGTTAATGGTCAGAAAGATCGAGACAAGTGCAGTACTTGATACTCTTGAATAGAAGGAGCGTGAGTTGTATTTGCATGTAAATTCGCAATACATAACAGATTATGCCAACCAAAGCTAAAAGTCAACATTAGCAACACAGCCCCCGCAAGACAAAAATTTTGCTAACGCTCTTTTGGCCGACACCAAATGCATGTATAGTCCTCTCAAATTGCATATGTGTGTAATACGTAATAAACAATGGTACCCAAGACTGCTGCTTACACGTATTTTCAATGGAATAAGTTTCCCAGAAATTTTAATTTCTCGTCAAATGTCTCATATGCTTTAAAAGCTTTCGAGGTTCGGAACCCATCGTGGCGAAAGAGTCAGTGGGACAAGGATGGTTGGGCTGGAGAAGTCGAGAAAATGTAGCAGGTGGCGGACCTGCCTGTCATTGCGGAAGATTGCGTCATTAGCAATTTTACTTTCGATTATAAACTGTATCCTTTTTTGTGGTGGCATGATTGCTGATTATGAGTTGGTGTTATGTGCTTGTGTTGTTTCTGTGTTGGATGGTGGGTGATGGAATTGTTTGGCGATGTGTTGGCCTGGTCTGACTGTATATTTGCTAGTTTTACTACTTTTGGCTTGAGGTGAATGAGTAGGCTGGATTCGAGTGTCAAATAGTCAAAGAAAGGTCGTTTATAAACTTGTAGCCCAACCGTCCAACACAGGAGAGCAAAGTAGGATACGTATAATAATAATAACAATATTAATGTATGTAATTTAATCTTCAGACATTCTGATTCTCAAAAAACGACGACGACGACGAGATGACGAACGAACGAAGACGGGGGTTTGTTTGTTATACCTGTAAGTAGGCCTGTGAAACTGGCATATGATGTTTTACTTGGGTTATGCATATGCATCTAAATAGGTATGCATATGTCCATATAGTGCACATTATAGCTGCCAACAATGGTCGGCTTAATAGAGCAAAAGTTTTTGTCTTTACTCATTTTAAAATGGAGTCTAAATCTAAAAAATGGAAACGGCAGTATATGCAACGCCCTCATCTACGACTCATCTCAATTGCGAACCTTAGTATCATCATTTTGGAGAAACAGTGTTCAATTAAAATTCGACACAATAATTTTCCACGCATCCTGTAAAACAGAGTTTACATCTCGACATGTGCATTTTTACACCACTCATTACGTACAAGGCCATATTTCATTTAAGGTTTATGCAAATTCAAATGCAAGGCTAAATAATCTCCAGGTGAACTAACTGAAGATGACAATTTTTTAATGCACTTTTGAGCTACATACAAATTATGCCAATCAGGAATGTAACTGACGGTTCCCTACGGCATTTTACTGCTTATTTATATACTTGCATATTGTTATTCCTCAAAAATCCACTCTCACAGAAAATGTACTCTGAGCAGTGATGGCATATACGTACCACGCATTTATGTCCTTAATAAAAAACATCATAGATCGGGTAGAATAATATTAATACGAATTTTCAAGTGCTGACTCAATTGAATTTAAAACACTCAAACGTGCAAAGTTTACTTATGTGTGAGTAATGTAATGCGCATACCGTAAACAATTACAAGACATTTTACACTCTTTAATTGTATACAATGATCTCAAGTTGCCATTGTTGAATCATTTGTATGCATAAATCACATCACAGAATCCAGTGAAAATTACGAACGTGCCTCAGGGCGAGAAAAAAACATACGTAGATAAATAATTTAATGTCATGTAGAAAGGTTAAACTGTTGAATATCTAACTATACATCTGTCCAAGTACATATTTATGTATAACTAGATACAAATAATAATTAACTTGCATTTTTTTTCTAACCATCATCAGACTTCATATATTAACCTACAACATGTAATTATTTGGCGTAATTTACTATTGCTGATGTATTTAATTGAACCTGATTTAGTGCTTCTTCTCGATGCGATCTCATAAAAATATTCGTAATACTCCTGCTAATCTATCTGTACATACACATACATATGGATACTAAAAACGAATGCATAGTGCGAGCTACACCAATTTTCCAGGATAACTTTTATTTTCGGAAGCCACCGGAAGAAATAATTATAATTTGGATATCAAGGTTTCATGCGGGTTTTTGACAAAAGTCGAAATTGTTTATTTTCCTCGCTTATTCTGCACCATTGATGTGAAGAGGTCGCCAAATATATGTCGAACTATTGTGACGATTTTGTCCATTTCCTCCATTGGTGTGTAGTGGTAAAAAGGTACATGTAACAAGATAATGTATCTATTTTCCCCCGCATTACAAGGGGCGAGCTGTTTGTAACGTTACAATGATTTATTTTTTACTAAAGTTTGTGTCTCATTGTCAGATTAGGCCCTGTGAAGAGAGACGTGTATGTACTTTAGATACAACACCGTTGACCAGAGCGGCACCCTGAGTCCCAGAAAACCCTTCGCCAGCCAGAAGGGCAAGATCCCCAGACGCAGATGGCCCCTCGAGAATTTCCTTGATCTCGGCACGATAGGGCGTCTACAAGATAATTAGATTTAAAACAATAAATGGCATGCTTAACACCTCTATTAGAAGTTTTTATACCTGCAACAACCGCCAGCAACGCCATAGTCAAACAGGCCAAAATCAAAATTCGAACCTTACACATTGTCTGAAAAATTTACAGGAATACTTTTCCCTCACTATTCAATAAATGTAAGTAAGAATATTGGAAATCAGTGTAATATTGCTGATCTTCACCTCTCTTCGTCATTTATTTTATACCCATTTAAACTATTCAGGATTTACCTACCAACATCTGGTTGGGTATTCACATAGAGTTATATTAATATAAGCAGAGGGAGTACCATTGCTCTTTGTTCAGCGAGAATGCAAGCCACGTGATGTTTTGATTTGGTTGAGAACATAAACACTACGTCATCACTCATCACCACCATCACTAGAATGTTATATACAACACATACAAGGCATGTATTGTATGTATAAAATTCTGTGAGGTTGTTGAGACTCAGTTTCAACGTCAGGTACAGGTACCATGTTACCAAACTTGTTACCAAATTACGATAACCTTCAACTTCTCAGTATTTCTTCATGACAAATATTTTCGAAATAATTTTTAAGTAATTCTTAACTAATGTTTCTGACCACGGTCAATAAACCAACTTAGATACACATTGTGGTTGGATGGACCCCACTCCAATCTGCTTGTTTTCCCCAACATGAGAGCCATCATACAAGAAGTAAATCGTCATTTTAGTCTGTTTAGTTGTGGTTTAGTTTGAGGACTGTCGGTATGGTGGCTCGTTCGCATGCAATTTTAGATCACCCAATCAATTAACCTGCTCCTGTCAGGCCTTGGGTATTCATGTGTGTCTGTCATTCAAATTCAGCGAAATATTGCTTATTTGTAAATTCACAGTCGAGTTCGTTTGCACACGTATTTTTATAATTTTACTGAATTTCATGTAGACTTGCCTCCAGTAGTTATTGGTCTCGCAATAAATAATTCATGTATATTAGCTGTCAGTATACGGTACGTATCTATGTAGTTGATACGGGCTTACAAAAACAAATTTGACTTAACTGGTTCATAAGATTCGTGGATTTTTTATTTGTTTCTATCTTCATCTTCATATAAAAAGTTATTTTGCATGTATGTATTTATTTGTGCACAAGCATTATATGTATGCATGCATGACTAAAAGATTAATCCGTGTTCTATGATCGAAATGGCTGGTTTAGGTACTTATACACTGACATGAATCGTAAATTACAGCAATAGAGCAAAAATATGTATGTATTTATAATGTAAATGTAATGTAAAATGCCATATTTTTCTCATGATTTCTCATATTTTCTCATATTTTTCTCATGAGCCATCTCACGTGATCTCTTTGCTGTTGTGGGGGAGGAAAGAATATGCAAGCCCAATTGACAAACGGGTAACAACGAGCAATCCATGTATTTGTTCAATGAATTGAAATTAAATGCAAATCAATGTTTGGAATTCGAACTGTGCTTGATATAACATTCAATATATTTGATTAAAACGCTACGTGTCATTGACATTTTTTAATGGACGACAAATATATATTTACTACTGCTAATGCTACACGAAGTATAGGAATTAAAAATGTGTTAACTACAAATAAATTAGTCCGAGTCGAGCTCGTCATGAAATCGCTGATAGCGTTCGGGTTCCATTGGTTGAATAATGTGTTCGAACGATCTAGCTCGAAAATGTCTGGAAAATGACAGGTACTGCCCACCACAATTGCCCTGGTCCCGGCTTCGATCTGAAGATGGTTCGGAGTGTGCCAACAAAATAATCACCGGGCAGAAAAGCAAATTAACGAAGCCAATCATTCGCATTAAATCTGGAAATCCAATAATCGGCACAAGTTCGCCTCCTAAAAGTGGCCCTGCAAATGCATTATTTGCTCCATCAATCTAATCTTTCACCCTCGCAACGTTTTATAATTGTTCGTTATTTTCTTACCAATAGAATATGCCAATGCAACCGACGTTTGCGCTAGGGCGTAAACCACTCCATATCCCGCTTGATGGTATTCGTCCGCAAGACAGGCAAGCATAGGCATCAACGAGGCGTCCACGATTCCCAAAGATAGTCCCAGAGCTGGTCATATGCAGATTAAAATTAGGACGGCAATAATAACTTTAAAATAAAATGCTCATAAATAATAAATAAAAACTACCGAAATGTGGAAGAGTCAGTTGCCACACAAGTTTGGCCAAAGGAATCTGTAGTAATGATTCAAATTATTATAAGATCTAGTACCTGATTTTGATTTTATAAGTTCTTATGTTGACCTCATTTTATGTTGACCTTACCATAAAACAAGAAATTCCAATCGTAGCCATTGACACCATCGACATTTTCCATCGTCCAAGTCGAAGGGAAATTTGTCCGAAGCAATTGGTTCCAATGAAATATCCCAAGCTGTCGGGTACGAATACCACACCAAGCTGCCATTTCTGTAGGTAAAATTAATCTCGCATAAATTGTCAAGAAACGAGGCGCGTCTCGCTTTCACTTATAAACTCAGATAAAGAGCTTACTGCAGGGTCCATATTTTCCATCAGCCATACCGGAAGTGTCTAGATAACAGAGAACGAAATAATCATGATAATAAATTCGCGTATTTCTTGGAAGAACGCTCAGAAAATGAAATGATTTTTATTGTGTAGGAAGATCAGTGAATGATAAGACTTCCCAGTCGTGCTCGTGCCGCAAATATGCATAGCGTAAGTAAATATAGATTACATAAATATGGATTTTGAGCTAATCTAAATATTATACATTTATTTTCTCTCTGATTTCCGAGTTGTTTGTTATCAAATTAGAACTAAATATCCTTGTTCTTCCTTAATGAATGAAAGCACGTAGTGATGATTAAGTAAACTTTGAATGTATGCCGAACATAACTGGTGATTTTTTGTAAAGTAGTCTAATTTGTTTGCAAAAATGATGCTGCAAATAATTTCCTTACAAATATGACCAATGAAAACTGAAATACACTATGTTATGTACGAGTACATATATCTATGTAAATAAATATGTACATGTATGTATGCTTGTTAAGCCCGTCAAAAATGAGTCGCAAAATAAATACCTAGTAAAATTCCTACCACTGATTAAAATTCTTCTTACCGGTTCTAAAACAGCCATCGCAGTCGTCGTTAACTAGGTAGGGATAATATGTGTAAAAAATGTCTAAGAAAGTTAAAATGTAAATTAAAAGTTAAATTTTATTATTACTTACCCAAACAGCAATCACAATCACCAAAATTGATCTGTCGCGGAGGAGCGTCAGCAATGAGGTGGAGACGACGCCAACAACAACTCCAGGCTTAATTAACGCCAGCTCTGTCATTTCCGTCATATCGGTCGTAGAAAGCTTGGATTTTCGTATTTCAAACCCCATTCTTGCCAATTGTATAGCTATAGCATAATTTTCAAGTAAAATGTACAATACATGACGAACCAACTAATGTTGCTCGATTATGTACAATTCCAAAAATTTAACAATTCCCTGGTAAGGAACACAATTTGAGGTTACGTAGTGTTTGTTCAAAAAATGTGCACACAAATTTTTTAAACTCCCACTGAAATAGGAGAAATTTATAATTTTTTTTAACTTCAGGCAAATTAGATGGACAGCACTGTGAATATTAATTTCGAACGCACACTATGTACATAGGTACGAAAAGTCAAGCAATCTTATACGTTATACGTATACCTACATATGTACATATTTTTATGGGTAAACTTTCTTACCAACGCTGCAAGCAGCTAGAGCAGCAATGCACAAAAATGGCATGGATTTTCCAAAAATTGCAAACGAAATTCCTCCAAATGGATAACCTAACAAAACCCCAAGTGCTGCGGCACCCATTACCCTCCCAAGAAATTTGGTTCGATTTTGTTCATCATCCTGATAATATTCTGCAACAATGGCCATTCCGGAAATAGAAATGAGAGCAGATGCCAATCCATGACAGCTTCGACCAACGGTGTACAATGGAATGGAGTCCGCAAATCCGAAAACTAATTACAAAGAACTTTATTAATCTTCGGTAGAACTATCCATTAACTAAATTCAAATTCTGAATTTTATAACCGAATAATACTATTTTAATTTCACAAATCAATTAAAAATTCTGAATTTAAAGATGTATGCAATCTTAACTTTTATAATTGGATGATGATTGACGATTATGAATTTTACAGTGGTATGAAAAAAAACTGTAAATACATACTTACCTAGGGAGCAGAGCAACAAAACAAAGTTTCCAACACATAACGGAATTTTGTAGCCAATTTTGACAGTTAATTTGCCTACGAGCGGATTGCAAATTAGTTGGACGAATGCCTAAAATACATTTAGCAATATATTGCTAACAATTCATACAAATACAAATTTGATGTGATAATTCGCCAGGGTATTTTTCTACCTTTGTCGAGTACAATAGTCCAAGTTGTGTGTTTTCTTGGAGGAGATGTAAATGAAATAACTCTCTGAGACAACTTGAACTGTGACCACTCGCTTGTTCAGCAGTATCGTGAGTATCCGCATCTAACGTCTTGGTTGAATTTACTCTTGAAAGGTTGCCAGTGGGATCGACACCATGATGTCTCAATAGCTCAGGAAGAATGGGAACTACGATTTAAAGCATATGTAGAACCAGTAATATAAAAAATCCCTCCGTCATTGCAATATGAAAATATATATGAATACTTACCCACAACAGTAAGGAGCAAATTATCGCAAAGAACGCTTAAAAAAACAGGAAATGTTTTACAGGCGTAAGGAAGTTGGAAATTGAACACCATGTTTAGCAAATTGCATAATTGTACAGCTAGATTTCGAAATTTTCGGACAACTATTCTGCTCGACTCGAAAGAGCCCTGTGAACTTAATGTAGCAAAGTTCAGTCGTAAAGGCATCCAGAAAGCTCGAAATTGGACTCGAAATTCTTGTAAACTAGAATAATCCAAGTTGTCCAGTGTGCATACTATACTCGTAGCTTTTGGCCATAGCAAATTTTCCATCCTGTTGAGCATCCGACTAATAAATTGTGTGCGTGGGCTGGAGGATAGGGGTGAAGTCTGGTTGAAGCTGATAAATAGAATTTTCGGCATCAAATTGGAATTTTCTGCTTGGTTAGATTTCTATTTCGCCAAGTCATAAGTACATATATTTTGTCACTTCTAAGGGGCTCGGTCTAACTAAAAAGTTTTGGGTACCACGACTCTATTCTATACATATTCTGTACTTGCCAGTGGGTCTTCATACCAATCTCATTCTCATGTCTCAAGTTTGCTATGCTTCTTTTAGCTCCATTCTGTTCAACAAAATTCGACAATAATTTAGTATCAGGCTAAAAAATGATTGCAGTAAAATTGTACTAATATTGACTATTTTCAAAAGAAAACATTACTTTAGTCTTGCCAGTTGCGTATTTATACTTGCCTTGAATTGCAGACTCACATAATGCTTACAAACGATTTGCATACAAAAATTGAATAATATCTATATTACAGAAAATTAATTATTGGGTTAACATATTTCTTGCTCTGTAGGACACGTTCAAGTGAACGTTCCTTTTCAAACAACTTTAAACATCCTAAATTCAATTTGTGGATAGACGTAATTTAATCAAAATGGATTTCAACCTACTGACTGATTGGTTAGCAAGCATAAAGTAACAAATTAAAAGAGGCAGCATGAACAACTAACGCTGATACAATAGACAATAACAGCATATGTATAGTCAATATGTAACACTGACTTATAACCAAATATAATTTTTGCCTTGTAACTAAAATGTATTTAGTTCTTAGCCAAGTAAGGGCTTATGGAATTCCGATGTCTGTCCGTCCGTCCGAGATACGATACAGCCAAAACGCCTGAATCGATTGAGTTCAAGTTTTGCACACATAGTAGACAAAGTTAGGAGTTCGAAGATGAGCAAAATGGGTCATGTGGGCGTGGGGGTCATATAGGCAAGACTTTAACGAGGCGAGCTCCACTGGTCCTGGTAGTCAAGAGGAAGTATCTGTAAATACTTCAACAATTTGGTAAAAAATAATAGAAAATATTTTTTTTAAACATTGGACCATGCATCCCCATCACGGGGTGAATTCCCATTTATAATAACATTAACAGCAATGCTCAACGTTATAATTCCTTCAGGAGCTGAAGCTAAACGTGCATAAGTGTTTAGTAAAACGTGCTAGCTTATTGTCAAAATAGGCTGCCTATGTTCAATTTTTGACGTTTTCTTCTTTTAGCACAAACTCAGCATTTCCAAAAGACGACAGGTTAAATAATTGCATTGGTCAATGCTAAAGTCAGGGAAATATTATTTCTCGATCCTCCCCCAACCGCAAACAAAGAAGGGATTAGATTATTGGATACAGGGATTGTTGTGTCAAATATAACCAAGCTAAATAATAAATAAACTTCTTAACCATCACAAGAATAACCTGTTGTCTATTGTTGCAGATGAGTAAGAATGCATGAACTTCATTGTCATCAGTACAACAATGCCTATAAAATACGATGCAGCCTCTGGTTATCAATATACCTGAATAATACTAGTTTTATCTTCTCTGCGTATCTTTCTGCTTGCTCTGGTGTTGTCAGATTGGATTTTTTCAATGCATACAATACCTTCGGCTTATCTCAGATTTTGTATCTTGTGCAGAAATCCAATGCAACAATGTGTGTCTATGAAACAATGCTGTAATGACTTACTACGTGATAAATCTCAACACACATCGCAGCAGGCCACTTCCCTCCTTATGGCTTGATGCTGTAATTTTTGCATAAATGAACTAGCTTGAGCCAGGGGAGAAGAAGCAACAGCATGTATTACCAGTCTGCATTCGATTAATACATGAATATTTTTTTCACTGTATACCTTGTGGATTCGAATTGTCGGGGTGAACACACTCGACAAAATCTTGATTTTTCAATACGGATAGTTCAGCGAAGTTGACTTTTAAACTCTGTGGAGAGCAAAGCTTGATCCCATCAGAAACAACGGGCTTTTTTATTCCTTTATGCATGCAGTAGTGCAGAAGTACGGTACCCAGTTTTTATTGACGACCATTCTTCAGTTCGCTTCAAGTGCTTCGCGAATGTGACGTTCCGTTATTGTGTGTACAAAAATTATATCCCAGTGCCAATCCAATTATACCCGATCGGGTTTATATGATAAAATGAAATCCAGGATGGGACCATTGCTAGTATTTTTTGCCGGATTTACAATTTGCCATGCACAACTCGTCTCAGATTTTGGAGGACTGTTCCCATCTTCCAAAAAGAGAGTTCAGGACACTGTAAGTTGGCATTCTTTAGAACTAGCACTCATTAGAAGGACTAAGGACTCAACTCTCCTAAGCTACGCATGTGAAATTTGTCCTATATGTCATGCGTTTTTACTGGATGTGACAGGTGAATGATCCATCCGGCACTTCTATCAGTCATCCCAGAAGAACCACAATAATCGATGTTCTGAAGGAACTTCGGGCCACCACATTTTTACAGCTCATTCAGCAAACCCAACTGGGGGAGGCACTGCAAGGGTCGGGCCCTTACACCGTCTTTGCCCCAACGGACGATGCCATCGACAGGTTACCCAAGTGGGCACAGAGAAAACTCCTCCAGGACTCTGAAACTTTGGCTCAAATGCTCGTGTACCATATTACCGTTGGAAGTAAGGTTTAAGAAATAATGCGTCGTGTACGATTGTATTATTATTACATGTGCCCTTTCTTTTGACATACAGAGATTACATCCAAGGATATGAAGAACGAACTGAGAATCCCTACGCTCTATCACGGCAGGCCTGTAGCCGTTCGAGTCTACGCCGACCGGGTAGGTTACTATTATTGAATGGAAATTTCGTAAACTTTTGTACAATTAACGCAAAATAATAATGTACAAATTACTACACGGATAACCAAAACCATTAAGTTTAGTAATCCTATACAACTAAATTTGTATTGTAGAAACCATCGATAAATCACGTGACAGTGACTGTTCCTGATGCAATGTAAGAACTAACATATATATGACATATGCATACACTTTCTGGCTGTAATTAAGAATAACCTACTGCTGGTGTCATTTTAGTGCATCCAACGGCGTGGTTCATGTTATTGGAGATGTCTTATTCCCTGTCCCAGTCGGCAACGTATTCGACGTGTTGGATAATTGTACTTCTTTCTCCAAATTCAAAAACTACATTGTCAAAGCAGGTCTTCAGGATGAGCTGAAAAATGCTGGTGAGCGTCAGTGTCGATTGACCACAAGCGAATAATGATTCAGCTACAGCACATAGTTGAAAATATACATGGATATTATTATACTTGTTATTTAATGATTACAGCAAATCCGATCACACTCTTTGCACCGACCAATGACGCTTTTGACTTTTTGCCATCCAGGATAAAGGATATTCTGGAAAGTGCTCGTAAGTATTTAAAATGTATTTAGTATAAAAATAGTCAATGTCATCAGTCTTTAGTTAAAGCATGAAAAATGTGTAGTATGCGTCCACCAATGTATTTACATACATGGCGTTCAATGAGTAACTGGGGTAATGAGGGAAGTGAGACGAGGCATATTGAGAATTATTTTATTGCCCCACCCCAATATGGAATAAGCAATAATAAGACTATGATTTCTTATGTCTAGACGTAAATTGCATATCACGTTCTAAATCGAAATGTGTTGTAAATAATTTTCAGGAAATGACAGCAGCAGCCCATCATTGAAAAACTCGCAAGCCATGATTCTCCACCATGTTTTGTTGGGAACGTTTTTCAGTCCAGCCTTCAAAGATGGACAGGAGCTTTCCACAGCAGCAGAAAGGGAAATCGTTGTCGATGTCCGACATGGTATGTTGTCACTTTTTCAACAAGTTATTTTGACTAGTCAGTTTGAAACGTGATGATAAGCTTATAAATTAATTTGATAAAATGCAGATCGGCTTAAGGAAGTTGGATTAGGTAAGCAAAGGATCTAATTATTAATATAAATATTTATGCTTAAATTGTGTTCTCTCCCCAGCTCGTGTTCTCCGATCAGACATTCCTGCCACCAATGGAGTTGTGCATGTCATAGATAAGTTTCTAGTTAATGAAGACATTTGTATATAGCTATAACTCCACGTGTTGATTTTTATAATGCCATTGAAATTAATAATTCAGCAAACATTTACATCACTTTCATATTGACTATTCGACAGCGAAGAAATTCGATTTTTATGGGTGATTGGATAATTTATTTTACTACCTGATTGAAAACTGCGAATAGAAACTTTATTTATTTTCGGTAATAAATTGATGAAGTTAAAAGCGTTGAATATTTTCTGTCGTTTGTATAGCGTTGCATACATGTACACATATAAATACAAATATGCATGTCATTTTTTGAAATTTATTGTGTAGCCTCCTGCATCGGTTGGTTGAAGTTGGAAATTATTAGTTGAAAGACCAAATGGCCGAAGAACCAGATTTCCTAAGTCCTTAAGTTTTCCTGAGATGCAAAAATTGCAGATATACACATTATCAAAATAATATGCGACGGCTTCATAAACCTAAAAAAATTACCCATCATTTCCTCTTTCAGCTTTTCATTTCTCTCATTAATTAGAGGTGGTAATCTCTGTATGTCAAAGGAAAAGGAACATGTAATAATATAATCGTAAGCGGCACATTATTTATTCAACCTTACTTGAGTTGCCGTATATGCTATTCGGTTAGAAGAGTCCATCTCGAAAATTTTCTTATAATCTATTAAAGCTTCGTCCAATTTATCCATTTCTTCATACAATGCTGCTCGTCTAATGAGAACCTTCATATAATCATTCTTCAGCTCTAATGACTTGGTGCAGTCCATGACTGCGCTTTCTTTTGCACCCTGAAATAGAAACACACATTTTATACTAGTTTGTTGCAATATGTCATGTATTGTTTATTTTTTTTAATCACCAATTTAATTTTTGCAGCCCCTCTATTTCCATATAGGATTGCTCGGTACTCATTTTCATTCAAAGGACACAGTTGAAGCGCCTTTGTGTAACTTTTAATCGAGTCTTCCAGCCTTTCCTCTTGATACTGTGTGTTTCCCTGCTCTTTAAACTCTTTAGCACTTTGAAATCTTTTCTGAATTAGATCAAAACAAGTTATTACCTTGTAATATAACTTGGTAAAATGGACAAGAATTTAAAAAATCTCTACCTCTAATTGGTCCAAGGTCAACAATGACTCCTCTTCTTTTAAAAAGTTCTCATCCACAAAATCGTCCAACATGGGGTCTAGATCTTCTTTTTCTACATCCTCGAATTTGTCATCTTCGCTTGCGGGGTTAGTATTGTTATTACATATTGTTGGACTTTCTTCTCTTAGCACGGTATCGGAGTCCTCAATCCTGAGTTCTGTTTCTACATTTCGAGCTAATACGGTATCCACCTCATCAGTTTCGCAATCGTGGAATTCGTCATCGCTTGGATGGAGGTCACCCTTCGGTATCTCAGGCATCCCTAATAATTTGTGATTCGCAGCATCCCCTTTTCCCTCGGTTGGACAACCTTCCATCGTCGCTGTAGAATTTCCTAAGTTAAAAATATAATATTCAATTTTGAATTATTTCGCTCAAAATGAATTAAATAACATAAATAGCATTATTTTATACACCTTTAAAAAACTATTTACTGTTTTGATATCTGTAAAGGATAAGTGAATTAGTGAATATAATGAGTTTTGTAATTGTATGGTCTTAAAACTCTAAATTAATATAATAACAAAAACTTCAGCTGGAATTAATGAAATAAAAATGCTAGTTGTCACTTATTATTACTTACGGGTTGACTGACTGGCTGATCCGATTGAATATGATGTCAAATTTCAAAAAATATAGGACAAACAGTGAACGTCAATAATTTTAAGGAATTCTAAATTAACGGAAAATTTTGAAACAAATGCAAAATGATGAGAATTCGATTCATGTGTCATGCGATGATTTAGCACGAACTGGAGCAACGTGAGCCAACTCAGACTTTGAGTCTTCCGCGATTCTCCACCACCATCACCAGTAACAGTACATCATCCACTGCAATCGAATCACACGTAAGTTCCGCTCCCAGAAATTTATTTCTTTTTCATAATTTCCGAACTTTTCAAATCCCAAATTGATATGGAATTGAAGTCCGGCCTCCCCTTCTGCCGAGGCAGTAAAAATTTTTGAGTATTCGTGCTGTTTTTGGTAGAAATTGGAGAATTTTGAAAGAGTACCTCGTGGCCAAGCCGGCAGCATGGCGGCCATATAGTTAACATGGGAATGCAATTGATAGCTTGGTTTTGGGATTTTAAGTTTCAAATTTGATATTTACAAGTTTCTTTCTTGTATTACCACTATAGAATGGCGGACGCAGCACCAGCCGGTGGTCGAGGTGGATTTCGTGGAGGATTTGGTGACCGTGGTGGACGCGGACGTGGTCGAGGTCGGTTAATACATTATAATATAAATATAATACAATACCATTTAGAGGTGGATAATTTGACATTTTTGTTTCAACACCAGGTCGTGGACGAGGTCGTGGTCGTGGTCAAGGAGGAAAGGATGGGGAAAAAGAATGGGTTCCCGTAACCAAGTTGGGTCGCTTGGTTCGAGATGGAAAGATTCGATCTTTGGAGGAAATCTATCTTTTCTCCCTCCCCATTAAGGAGTTTGAAATCATCGACCATTTCCTAGGGACTGCTTTGAAGGACGAGGTTCTTAAGATCATGCCTGTCCAAAAACAGACTCGTGCCGGTCAACGTACTCGCTTTAAGGCATTCGTTGGTAAGAAAAAGTTGCAAGATTTATTGTCCAGTGCCAGTCTACCTCATGTGATGTAGACTTTCTTTCATTAATGAGTTATTGTTTGCAGCCATTGGCGATTTCAATGGGCATATTGGACTTGGTGTAAAGTGTTCCAAGGAAGTAGCAACCGCTATCCGTGGTGCCATCATTTTGGCTAAGCTCTCCGTTGTCCCAGTTCGTCGCGGTTATTGGGGAAATAAGATTGGAAAGCCTCATACGGTCCCTTGCAAGGTAAACATAGATAATTTATTTCTGAAAACTAATCACTTGTACAAAAAATTTAATTTGTTCTTGCTTTCTTCCAAGGTGACTGGAAAGTGTGGTTCAGTCCTTGTGAGACTCATCCCAGCACCCAGAGGAACTGGCATTGTTTCTGCCCCTGTTCCCAAGAAGCTCCTCAAGATGGCTGGTATCGAGGATTGCTACACGTGTGCCACTGGCAGCACTGGGACTCTTGGCAACTTTGGTAAGATTTTATCACGAATTTCTATTAACTTTTATACGTTATTGATTGATGAGCAAGCCATAAATTAATCTTGAACTATATTTATCTGTCTACCTACAGCTAAAGCAACATACCGAGCTATTGCCAAGACCTACGCCTACTTGACGCCAGACTTGTGGAAGGAGACTACACTCACCAAGTCACCAATCCAAGAACATACCGACTGGTTGGCTAAGAACCATCGCCCTGTTGTCGGTGCACGAGCTGCGGTTTAAATTCCAAACATTTTGTCAATGGTCTAAATGCCAAATACAGAATAAAAATTGATTATAAAATATACACCCGTCTAATTTAGCATTTTTCATATTCGTCAATTGGTCATGATTGTTTTAAAAAAATTCCCCTTCTACCAGTGGTAATGTCATGAAATCATAAATATCATGTTATATTGTATTACGTAATGTGTACGTGTCCTTGAAACAACCTTTATCAATTTCTAAAAAATTTGCAAGACAAAGCTAGATTTGATTTGAACCTTGGGCGAAATTTGATTCTTTCTCTGATTGCCACTGCTTTTCCTTTTCTTTGAAAAGGGCTGTAAAGTTGGAGAGAGAGAGATCAAATCCATGAAGTATTGTACAAGTGCCAGACATCCACTGACTGCATCAACTTATCTCCCTTGATGTTCACGTGATATGCCACGGACCATCCCATTTCGCAAGTAAGTGGGTGTTACAGACTTGGAGTTGTAGTGGGAACGGTGAGATTCGAATTTCAGGAGAGAGAATTTAATAGTCTTTGAGTTCTTGTCGAAGAAACTTAGATTACACGTGTGCCAGTAAAGCAGCCGGTCCTAGTTTCGTACGTTCTCCTCGGTCGTCTCATCCCACTGATCCTGAGCTCTCGGACGAGTTGAGTGCTCTCTTTGATAATGGGAGCGATAGGGGAGGAGAAATCAGAGGATTGAGTGAAAGCGAGTCTAAAGAAGGATGGGATGCAAAGAAGAGTTGTTATTTTTGTTCATGCTACTCGTGCCAGCGGTGGTTGGTTTCTGCCACTTCGGAGCTCGTATACCACTGCTCATTTCCGAAATCAACGAGATCAGAGAAAATTAGAAATCCATCAATGGCAAAGTTTTTCGCGAAACATAATGAAGAACAGGGAATAAGAACAGAACTTTTTTATACACGGAAATGTCACGAGATGCTCTTCGATCTTGAGTAGCTCGCTTTGATTCTCTTTATGATATGATTTTTACATTCTTTTGTCACTTATTATTTTCCTCTCAGCTAGTAAAACATCCTTCTCATTCACACGTGTATGCAAAATGTAGCATGTTTGACACGTATTTTACCCTCCAATACAACCCCAAGCGTAAATTACATGCAGTGCAACTTCACTCTCAAAAAACAAATGTTTATCCTCTGTCAATCCAGTAGTAAGCCCAATTTAATGTTCGAGTTAATTCAGAGATTGAGTTCTGACGAGAGTGTCTGAAGTGGAAGCAATTGCAGGAGGTCGTAATGCATATCGTAGCATTTGATGGGCGAGAATCACCTTCACCGAGAGAAAGCTGGTGTGAGAATAAAGGTGAATTGAGTGAGATTGAACTCAATTTAATTTGAACCATTGTGATTGAAGTTGAACACAGAAAAGTGCGTGTGAAGATTGATCAAGAAGTTTGGTGGGCTTTCTTCCTGTATGTGCAGCCAGACTCTGGTTGAATAACTTTCACTCTGTATGAAGTAAGCACCGTTCTGCAGTCTCCACAGTGTGGACCGTGGTTGAACAAAAATAGAAGAACGGTTTTCTCGTCTTGTCCAGAGTTGGTTTGTGATCTTTTACTTTTTGTGTGACTTTTACTCTTCTACTTGTTGGGAAATTATAAAAGTCCAGTACTTTTTATGAACTTTAAACATTCCTTTACCTTCGTACATAGGATTATGAAATTGTTTCATTCAACAACTGCCATACTTACGGCCAGCTGCCATATTGGTAAATTTCTAAAGTCAGTTGTAGCATGACGAGCTGAATTTGCATACATTATGACAGGCGACAGACAGAACAATTTAATGCGATAGTGCCGAGGCCGACAGTCATCAGCAACTCCAAATTAAACTCAATTGTCAGTTATGAAACAGACTTGTGTCATATTGAATATTTGATTCGTCAGCCAACTTGCTGGACTATTCAATGTTGTATGCAATGCCTAAGTAAATAAATATTTAAGCTGAGTGAAAGCTAACAATGTTTGTCAGAATGGTTGTATAGACGTATCTATATATATACAGACTAGGAGAGAGATTCTCTTGCAATCGGAACTGTAAAAACTAGCGGATTGTTTAATAGGCTTCACGTGAACTGTATAGTTTGCTACGCTGGATGAGGTATCGTCGTTCATATCAAAGATCTGCAGATCTACAGCGCTGCACATTTTACTGCAATCTATTTGACCTGACTTGGTTTCGTTCCGAATATCTTAATTCGATCTGCACTTCTTACATATTTACAAAGTATACTCGATTGAGAGCACTATCACACAAATTCTCAGCGTTTAAGGCTTGCTAACTTTTCACATTTCAACTTTGAACATTTCGAAAAACGCTGGCAGGTGAAAGTTGAACTGCACATGGGAGGTGTAATAAGTAGGAAAAGAATAATGACTTTCTCATGTGTTGTCATGCATTAATAGTTACCGTCCAATGGCCTGGGATTTGACCTCGTCTTGTAAGTGAGAGCTATGAACATAAATTTTAATTGGTCTGCTCCGATCTGATCTGATCTCAAGTGTTTATGAATTGTTTTTGCAAGAGAAAGTCTCGACTCAATTATTATTACAGGAGAAAGTTCCATCCCGTCTCACCACTTTTTTGCCAATTCATATTTATTATTTAATTCCTTCGTCTTTCTTCAAGTCTGCTCAGTCGCTGTAAAATCTTGGGAATAGATAATGTTTCACCAGCCGAGTTGGTGTACATATTTAGGGATCGTATGCAAATAAGGACGGATGAAGCTTGTGAAGTTATCCAATCTTGGTGAAGCAAGGTGCTGTACTTTATGTGGTATATTTTTTAGAGCAGCAGAATTTACTACCACTCACCCATTAATATTTGAATTGCATACAACCAGTAAGTGGATCAGTATAGAAAATTAAATAGGTCTTCACTGCTCTTCGTCGTTCTGTCTTCTGCAGACAGATTATCCTTGGTATTTGCTAGGGAAGAATTTACGGCGAAAGTTGGACCGTAAAGAACTGATCTTCTGGTTTTGGCTCTGACTCCAGGAAAGTTTTGCGTGATTGGGTGAAGCAAGGTATTATTATTCATGAAATGGAGGATCATGTGAGCAACTTTTGTTGCCGGAATTGGGTTTATAATTTCAAAAATTTGGGTGTGTTATTTCATAAAATTCTTGTCCGTGTTACAAAATGTACAATTAAAAATCAAATTCCTCTTACCCTCATTTATTTTTATTTATGTGGAAAAATATACTCTGAGTAATGCAATGCGTTAAGTACTTGAATCTTGTTTTAAATTGTTCCAAGTTTAGTTATACTTATAAATATATTTATTTTGCTCCCTGTCTTTTATCGGTTCCATTATTTCAGAGACAAAGTTGGAGACAAAATCTAAATTGACGTCCCAATTACAGAGTTGTAAAACCCTCTTAGATAACCCTAATACTTATTATACGAACGTGTGGAAGACATGAACCTTCCACACGGCGGCGGATATATGTACGACACGACTTGGTTACTTCATCAATATTTGAAAACCGTGTGGTAACACGAACTTTGCGTTTTCACTTGCTTCCCAGCAGTGTTCCCCAGACACATGGATACATAAGTATCTAGATGCACAAACCTCGCAACATTAGCTTTTATATAAAGGAACGCGTGAAGGAATTGTGTTTGGTCTTTTGAACAATTTTCTGTGATTCGAATGCCAATTTCAGAAACAAAGTAATATTAACGTAACGTCATATAGCCCGGGTCATGCCTTCTTTTGCATAGTTACATACACAAACATTACTATTGTCGATTATGACCCCACTTTCATCTGACTAATGTTGCCCACCTATCTTATAATGTAGCTTTTATATTTGCATTCAATAATGTGTGAAAAATTTCAAGTCGGTCGATTCAGTAGTTACATACATATGTACAGAACGGGTTAACAAGCCCTGACTCGTGCTAAAGAAATCTATCACATACAAAAATAGGTTTTATTTATTTATTTGCTAAGCTGAGAGTTGTATATTATTTTACATATTGCATAACCATACACACTATTGGATTATTTCTCCTCTCTAATATATATATATATGTATAACGTATCGTATGAAGGTATAGACAGCATGAGCATGATAGCAGCAATTTTTTCATGATTAAATTTCGGGGGCACTGACCCGAAAGAAATAATCAGATAATTACAAAGACTCTTTAATCTCTGGCAAAAGTGTCTTCCCGTTTAAATTTACTTTACTTGCTTAAATTTATTAATGGGAATGAATTTGAACCCTAGTGTTCACCAACCGAGATAAAGCACATGCACCACCACGGGACCACAAAGTGCAGATATTTTCGTTAAACATAGCTAAAATACCAAAATAGGGCACTGTGTACGTGCCTCTGCATTGTTGGATAAAATCCCGTGTATAATTCAGTTTATGTGGACTCAAATTCAGTCAATCTAAAGAAGCAATCTTTTCAAAGAATGCTAGAAAAATAGAGATTCATACATAATTCCGTATGCTTTCCAGGTTTGTGTTTCATATTTTCTTCTCGGAGCTGAGCAGTTTCGTATATATATGAAACCAAAACACAGATTTGCTTTTTTTGAATTTGTAATCTAGGACCTTTATTAATAATACTCAACAACTAAAAAGTTGGTCTTGTGTATAATAATCAGATTTTTGATGACATAATAGTTGCGAGAAATATGATGAAAAAAGTTCCAGGAGTGTATATAATAATAATGAGAGTTGAGACCATGCAGCCTCCATAATTTTATTTTTATCTTAATCTCCATTGTAAACAATGAGCGTTATATATATATTTGTCTAATCCTGCTGGGCTTATTCCTGGTTGGCACCATCATGTGGAATTTTATAACAAAATTGCTTTCTCCCAAAGGATGCTGGGTTCGTGGATGCTGTTGTTCCAAGGAAAGCAAAGTTATAGCAAAGTAACTAATCTGACTACTTTCTTGGACTCATGTCTCCCGAAACCAAGTTCGCAGTACGTTCGCTTGAGTACGTGCTGCTATATGAAATTGCATAGATTTAAGAATTTTGAAAGTCAAGAAATAGCGACGATGAAATTCTTTAGCTCTCTCTCA